AAGCAGAACGAGGGCGATCAAGGCGCCAGATGTCTCCTAATCAAGGCCTTTCTGTACAGGAAGCGAGAGATCTCATACACCAGAGAAGCGAGCAAGGAGATGAGATACAGGAGATAGCTATGGGTTCTGCATCTCTACCTTCCAACGCGCCAAGACGTGCTCCACCAACATGTTCTAATTGCCATATTCAGGGACATATTAGAACTGGTTGTCCTACACGTCTAAATATATAGAACTCAATGAAATACACGTGTTTTGGTTGTTGTGTATAGCTTCAAGTTTTCGACCGCGGTCAGAATTCGATGTTGGTGTCCGGTTCGGTCGGGTGTCCGGTTCGGTTGGGAATTACGTTATGCAGATCGATACATACATATATCGTCAATGGCCAGATTTAGATTAAAAAACTACTGATTGACGATAATGACAATGAATTGGACTGTATTTTCTTGAACTTGCTTGATTAAGTCTTGAATATTATTATATATATGCTGTAGTAGAAACGGCTGTCTAGCAAACTCTAAGAGAGCAACGATTATGTGTTTCTGGCATACATAGATGCCATACAACTCCATGCCCATGTCCATGCTGTTTGACAAAGCAATTCTTTTCTCTTATCTTTTGCTTGCTTGCAAAAAGCCAACCCAGAAAGACTTTTTCGGTGTAGGACATTACCTCCAAAAAGAAATAAACTCAGAAGATAGATGGAAGATAGATGAACAAATGTAGTTATGTGCATCACGAATTCCCATTCACTGGAGTCTGGGCGGCTCCAGTCCCATTCGTCGAAGAAGCTCCTGCTACCGCTTTCTCCAGCGCTTGAAGCACGTCCGCTTTCAGATCCTCCAAATCTTCAATGCCGCAGCTCAGGCGAACCAGGTCGTCAAAGACCCCCGCCGCTTCCCTCTGCTCCTTGGGGATACCGGCATGCGTCATGCTGGAAGGCACCTCGCACAGACTCTCGATCCCGCCCAGACTCTCGGCCAGCACGAAAATGCGCGTGTTCTGGCAGAACCGCTCCGCCGCTTGCTTGCCGCCTTGGATGCGGAAACTCAGCATTCCACCGCCCATGCCGTCTCGGTGCTGTTTCAGTGCAATGGCGCGGTTGGGATGTGATTCAATGCCCGGGTAGTTCACCGACTTGACCAGCGGGGACGCCTCGAGCGCCCGCGCGATGGCAGTCGCATTCTTCGTGGCCTCCCGCACACGCAGATGCAGCGTTTTCAAGCCCCGGTGGGCGAGCCAGCAGTCAAATGGAGACGGAACGGCGCCAATGGCGTTCTGTAAAAACGTGAGGCGCTCCTTGAGTTCGGGGGAATTGAAGGCAGCAACGCCCATCAAAACATCCTAGGTAGAACGGTCAATTAGGTAACTTCACAAGAACAGTGGCGGCTGGCCTACCGAATGCCCATTGATATACTTGGTGACGGAGTGGACAACAATATCCGCACCGTGATCGAGAGGGTTCTGGATGTACGGGCTCAGGAAAGTGTTGTCGACCACAACCAGAATGCCATGTCGGTGCGCGATCGTGGCCACTTTGCGAATGTCGACCAGACCCAAGGTGGGGTTTGACGGACTCTCGATCCAAATCAGCTTCGTGTCATTCGGGCGGATGAGCTCCTCGACGTTGATCTCAATGGCCGGCGTGAAGGTGACGTGCACGCCGTGTGCGGCCGCAACCTTGGTGAAATACCGGTGTGTGCCGCCATAGACATCTAATACGGAGACGACATGCGATCCTGCCGCGAGGGACTGCAGGATGATGGCAGTAGTTGCGGAGCCGGACGAAAAGGCAAGGGCGTATTTCGCATGTTCCAGTGCTGCGATGGCCTCTTCAAAGTTATCTCTGGGAGAGTCTCAGCAATGCGCCAACGTGTGCTTGCAGGCACAACCACATACCGGTTTGGATTCGCGCTCCGCGTGTACTCGTAATTTCCGACGGGTTTGCCTACGCCTGTCTGAGCGAATGTCGTCGAAAGGGATATCTATTGAAGGGAACAGTTTTTCCTCGTAAGCGTCAACGTCCAGGCAAATTGCGGGGCACAAAAAAGACGTTCCGGCAAACTTACCGGTGCAATGACAGCTCCCGTGGTCGGATCATGATGCGCTCCAGAATGCACCGCGCGAGTCGCAAACCGATGCTCTGGCGATGGAGGGCGAGGAGGCGTCTCGAGCGAGTCGGCAGGTCGCAATTGGGGATTGCTGGAGGGAAGAGTCATCCTGACGTTGGCGGGGCAGAACAAGCTTCCGCAAGACGAAGCTGCAGAACAGAGGAGAACAACCCAGAGTTGTAGAGTCTCTGAATGAATCTCTTCAAGGAAGAAAGCAATGATCTGGTCCCTTTGGAAGGGAAGAAGTGCAGAAGAAAAGTGATAAGATTCAAACAGGGTTCAGCTTAATAATAATAATCTAGATCCATCCATCATTTCCTGTCTGCGGATTTCAAATCAAACGCACAGACAGAATCATCTTATTATTATTACCAAGACTTTCTTTTTTTAGCTCCAGAGAGGCAAGATCCGGCCTGCCATGAACAAACACGGGCGTGGTCTTGGATTCGGCGTTCCGCGTGCCATGAATTCTCTGCCAGACTTCCGCCGCGAACCCAGGTTCTGGAGCCTTGGCTGATGATTTATCAGATCGTTTTCCATCCCTTGCTAGCACGCCATCAGAGCAGGACATGTAATCATCGACATGTTCTGCTGCCTGCCGAGTTCCAACGGCTACCAACTGAAAAAATTGTGTATTTTCAAGATGCCACACACACACTATCTATGACGCTGCGACCGAAACACCGCTGAAGCTCGTACACGGTACAGGTAACGGTCACCTAGGCAAATGAAGGTTACTGAGTTACTCGCAACTAATTTAGTGGCAGCTAAATGGACTAGTCAGACCATTCCCATGATGCCGTCAAATTGATTCCATCCCACTTCGCGCAAGACTAAGAAGAATTAGCAGATCAGAGTGGAGCCCGCCCCGTCATTTCGCACGCCGTCGGTAGCCGACGCCCCTTCACGCGCCCAGAAAGGGATTGCAGGCCTTGCTATCGCTATCAGCGTGTTTCTAGCAGCATCTACGTCAGAGTACATTCAAGCCATACATCACTTCATTCGTAATCAGTGTTTCATCTGGATTATTTCTCTGCTATATGGCTTGAAGCCTAGCTGATCTATCTATCTATCGGGGTACGCAGAAGCTAAATGGAACTACATAATCAATGATATCGAGGACCAGCCATTTTGTTTCAAGAAATCTCAGTACCCTTGCGTAAGAGTTGTCTGAGTGACACCTCCCGTCCAGAACGACTTCAAAAGGAATGGGATAGCGATCACCACCAAGATATAGGCCCCAGACCTGCCATCTGCATGGAACCCTGTATCAGAAGCAAACCGTCAGTATACATAGTCAATGACAAAGAAGGACACACGGAAATACATACCACAATCGAGTACGGCGGCTTTCGTTCCGACACGGTCGTCGCATCTTGCTGATCCGGGGCGTTGGGGATCTGATCGTGCCATTCCTCCATTTCCACCCGGAGCCGCACTATCTCACCGACATCGAAATAGAATGTTGCTCCTTCTTCATTCTCCCAGACCCAAACCTGGTCGGCATAGTCACTGCAAACGTCAATTGGCTGAAATGGAAACAGACTAGAGGCAATTAAACTTACAATCGGGAGCCTTCCAAGAGCAGATCAGGCGGCACGAGGATGTCATTGAAGAACTCTACCCCAACTTTATCTCTGTCAGCAAAACTCGTAAACCACGTCGAGCCTTCCTGGCAGGAAAGACGTACTTTTGATCCCATTCTCGCTGGAGCTGGTGATTTTGCCAAGGATGATCTCTCCTTTGAACGGTCTGAACACTATAAGACGAAATTTGACTAAAAACGGAAGTTAGCAGGCAGCCTCTTTTTTGAAGGCGAGATGCAGCTCTTGTCAGAAACTGCCAGTAAGAACCTACCATTAACATTGACGAGACCGGTACCATGCCCGATCAGGCCATCTGAAGACTCGAGCAAATCATAGAATCCAATACATAGCCCAATTTTCTGGATGACCTGTCAAGCGGCGATTTTTGTCAGTAGTGACAAAAGACAAGACGAGCTTGGACAGAAGAAGAAGAAGCTGACTTTGTTCGCATATTTCGCGTTGATATTGTCCTCGATCGCTACCGAGCTGAACTTGGAAAAATCCTCTGGCGAGATCTGAATCAGATCGGAGATCGTAGCCTTCAGGAGAAGAGAAATAGGTCAGACGGATGACTTTCCCAGCAGAAGAAGAGCAGATAACTTAGAAAACGTACTAGAAGAAACATGGTGTCTGCTGGGTATGTCGAAAGAACTAGGTACGGAGTAGTTTTTAGGCCGATCTACGGATGTCGGGAAGATCAAAACGGGGGACTGGATGCTACTGCCATCCTGACGACAGGACTAGGATAATAGAGGAGGCTGGTCTAGAGATCCATCGCGACCAGACTGACACTGAAGTGCAAAGACCTGGCTCTTGATCCCACGCAAATTCGAACAATGAAATATCGACAGCCAATCAGCGCCATGCAGACGCCTGCAAAGACATCGCCCCACGTGATCGACGCGCTTTCCCATTTTTGGACATGACCTCTCAGCTGCCATCGGAACGGAACAACATCTCCGACCGCTTTACGATGCCTGCCTCGTGCTCCAGCAGACAAAGACTCGGTCGGCCGACGCCGGTCAGTCTTCTGACAGCATCAGAAGGTGTGTCGCCATGAAAGAACCCTAGAATCAGACGACAGCGCCCTTCTCTCCCACGATGGCATCTCGTGGGTTTTCCTTCCCTCCTCCTCCGCCGCCGCCACCTCCGCAGCAGCATCACGCGCCTGGATTCCAGAGTTCCGCCGCGTCTTACGGACAGAACAATACCAGCTATGGACAGCGGGGCGGACGCCCCTCTGGCGGCTACCACAACAGGGGCCGGGGACGGGGAGGCGGAAACCGTGGTGGTCGAGGAGGGCATTTTGGCAATAGCGACAGCAACCATGCGGCTTCATACCGTGCCAACCCGTCAGTGAACTATGGCGGATATCCCGCGGCTTCTACCTTCTCCTCGCCGTCGACTGTGACGGGCGCGTCGCCCTACCAGAGCTCCTCGCAATTCCAACCACATCAGACTCAGCCAGCCTATCCGCCGCCGGGCCAGCAGTATTCTCAGCCGCCTCCGCCCTTACCGCCATACTCCCCTCATCCTAATTACGACGCGGGCTACGGCGCATCGTCTGCGCATCCTCAGGTCCCGTCATACTCTCCTCAATCCGCGGCTGGATATGCGCCTGGCATCTCCCCGCCTCCGCCCTCTTCGTCGTCAGCGTCTCATGCACCTCCAGGCCCTCCGATTGTAGCGCCGCCCATGCGCTGGGGTTACGACAATTCCGGAGCTGGAGGATTCTATTCCGGTGCTCCGAACGGCTCTACACCCAATTCTTTATCTCATCCTGGCTACGGGAATGTTCATTCCAACTCGCATCCCGGAGGAAATAATTTTACGAAGCATGGACACAAACGCGCCTATTCATCTGCCTTTGAAAAACCAACGACTTCCGCTCCACGGACCCCAGCACCACCTCCGGTGCCTAGTTTTGGAAATCCGCTCCCTGCCAAGCCACCTCCGCCCGTCGACGCAACGCGGAAACAACCGAAGAAGAAGAAACGCCGATTTAATCAGCTTGGCCTGACCCCCAAGACCGAAGAGCATGAGTCGAGTGAGGAGGAAGATGATGCGGATGAAGAGGCTCGGTTTGTTTCCAGCAGCAGCGGTAGTGGTACCGGACCGTTGCAGTTTACTTACAAAGGGCGGACCTCGACGTTACAAACTCCGGAAGAAATCGCCGCTTGGATCGAGGAGCGGAAGAAGCGATATCCCACTAAGGCACGCATCGAAGAGAAGAAGAAGGCTATGGAGGAGGCTAGGAAACAGAAGGAGATGCAAAGGGAGGAAGCCCGACGCCAGCAGAAAGAGGCCCGGGCCCAAAAGGAACGGGCGAAATCCGAACGCAAAGAACAGCGGGACGAGAGTACCGACCCGATCGATGCCGCCGTCAAGGCCAAGCTCAAGGCAGAGAAACTCCGGAAGAAGCTCATCAAGGAAGAGAAACGGGTGGCCAAGGCGGAGGCGGATGCTGAGCGGGCTCGGCTTAAAGCTGAAGCCTTGCAACAGAGCCTGGCCGCGAAGTCAGACGAGACTGGGCCGGACGCCTCTGAGAATCCCGGAGGCGATTCTTCTCAAGCGGCGGATACAGCGCTTCCCGGCAGCGATGCGGCGCATCCGGCCGTCAACGGTACCGACGGGGTCCAGGCGGATGGAAATCAGGAGACAGATAACAACCAAAATGGGTTAACTCATTCACATGCGACAGCGACTGCTGGAGCCGAACCATCTGTGCCATCGTCGCCAGGGGCTTCTGATACGAGCGACGAAACGTCTTCCAGCGGGTCTGACTTGTCGTCATCGGACAGCGACGATGACAGTGATGAAGACGAAGACGACGAAGACGACGACTCGGCTCCCGAAGAAATTTCCTCCCGTCGTGAAGGGCCCGAGCGGGTTCCTGCGCCGTCGCGAGACAGCCGTCAGAAGAAAAAGGGGCTATGCCGCCATTTTGCCCGGAAGGGACGCTGCTCGCGCGGAGACCGGTGCCGGTTCGCGCACGAGCTGACTGAGGGTGGTGCAGGCAAGGCGCGACCGGGCGAGGCCAAGGGCCGGGGACAGACAGCAAAGAGGGGACTTTTTCAACTGGTGAGAGAGACACTACTTTTTTTTTTAATTATTCCTGACTAATACTGTTTTTTTTTTCAGCTTCTGGAGCGTGAAGCAGAAGAACGGGATCGCCGGGTGATGCAGGCCATTGCCTGGCTAGGGGAGCATGGCCTGCTGGATGACCCGAGCAGCGAGAAGGCGTCGGACGAGGCGACGAGCAAGCCAGCTCCAGCGATTCCGCCGGTTCACGACGAGGTCGACACGAAAGATGCTGCCGGAGTTAAGGCGGCTGATGAGACGGGGGCGTCATAATCGCCGACGGCCAAGTCATGAAGGGTTGCTCGTGTATCACCCTATGTGGGTGGGAATGAAATATTATTTTTCTAACTACATTATTAGAAAAGTTTTGGAGATACAGTAATAATGATGGTTACGAGGGTGGCCACCACCGTCAGGAATCTATCGGGCACGCCATCATGTGGTGCGACAGTGTACAACGATGTATGTACGGAATAGTATAGACCAAACTCTGTGCTGTACAACCTGGCGGGCATCATGATTCTGATCGAGACCATGCTAAATTCCGGTCCTTGTACCACCACGATGCAAATGCAATGCAGTGCAGTGCAATGTGGGTAGTAGTACCTTAGTATAATCCGTACACTGTACAACATCTCCAGGTTACGCCCGTGGGATGCATGTCTCGGACAAACACAAACAGACTGACGTCACTCACTGTCTCGGGGGAGAAGAAGTGCAGTGACGGTGAATTGTCATGTGAGAAGCAGACAGACAAACTAAGTAGCTAGACTAATTACTGGAGACATTTCGAGATGGTTTCCTTGACGTCCTCTCCTTTCCTTGCTTCCCGTGAGGTTTGTGTGGATAAATGGATGTTGTCTTATTCCCATCTGTTTGACTCGATTTGTTGCTGATCACGGGATCGGGATCATGGGATCACGTGGAGGTCAGTCCAGATAATTGTCTCGGGAAGGCCACAGGCATCGACGTGTAGCAGGTACGTACAGTACAGCTGGCTCTGACGTGCACTGCGTGTCAGGTGCCTGACTTGATCTCATCATCTCCTCATTATCTCATTTTCTATACTGCTTACTGTGTTGGCTGAGAGCAATCAAGGCTTCTGACGCCAATCGTTGATTACTAACTATCGGTGGGGCGTTCCTGGCCCAATGGCTGCGATCCACGGATCGTATGGCAGGATCCCGCCAATCACCGTGGAGCTGATGCCAGGCGCGATGAACTCATTCGCTCTCCCTTCGGGTGTTCTTTCTTCCGGTGTGCGCTCACTCCTATTGGCCAATTCCCTAATCTTCTCCTCTGTCTTCATCTTGGAACAGTCGATAATCCATCAATAATTCCCGGTTTATGAACTGACTGTCCGACGGTAGCACGGGTGCTCTGACTCTCCGTCTAATATTGCTATCGCTATTAATTAGAGTTTTCGTCAGTCTTCGCCATCATCGCATCGCCTTCCGTAATCGTCCGGCTATGCCGGCACAAGACCGCGCTAGGCGAACACGCGATGCTCCTTTCAGCACGCCGTCCAGCACGCTTTGCTTGTTCCTGTTAAGTCTCCTCGCTGGTGGATCCTGGAGCCCCTCTCTCCGCACTTCGACGGCCATGATCCATCAATGATCAGCCTATCCGTCCGCCCAAGTACGGTTGGGCCACTCGCCGCTCATTTTCTTCAGGCTGGCTAGGCTGGAGCCGATCGCATTCGACACCAACGAAGCTATGTCTTAGCCCCGTTGCCTGTGCTGGGAATTTGCCTCCCTGGCTCCTTTTAATGGCTATTTCTCTCTGACCCCTCGTGTCTTCTCTCTGTTGTTGCCTTGCTGCTGAGGTCGAGATCCAGCGCCCGATTGTATTCCCTTCGCGGCTTCCACTCTTTTCCTACGATCGTTATCTGCCTTTTTCGCTTCTTGACTCTCTTTGCTCGTATCCAGGGGCTCCTTTGTTCTCAGTAATCCTTTTTTTTCTAATTAATCAACCACCATGCGTGCTGTCGTGCTCACCCTCAGCGCCTTCGCGGCCCTCGTCGCTGCGGCGGACAACCCGTTCCAGATCCCCAATGGCGGCTACACCTTCACCGCTGGCCAGCCCACCACTCTGCACTGGGACCCGACCACCAAGGGCACTGTCTCGCTGCAGCTGCAGTGGGGATCTGTGACCACCCCTGATCAGGGAATCACCATCGCGAGTGAGTGCCTCCTGTCGTGGCGAAGAGCATGCAACACGGCGGCTGTTACTGACGCTTGACACTGGACAGGCCACATTGACAACACGGGCACCTACACCTGGAATGTCCCGGCCGATCTCGCTGCGCAGCCCGACTTCACCATCCGGATCACCGATGACTCTGACCCCAGCGACGTGAACTTCTTGCCGCGCTTCGTCATCGCGGGCGCCTCGGGCACTGCCAGCGTTACTTCGGCCACTTCCACCGGCACGTCGGCCTCTGCTTCTTCGACTGGTAGCAGCGCTGCGTCGTCGACTACTCTGATCACGACGACCACTCCTGCCTCATCGTCTTCTTCTGCTGCCGCGTCCTCGACGACCAAGTCCAGCTCGGCTTCTGCCTCGGCCTCGTCTTCGTCGGCTTCTGCTTCGGCTACTTCCAGCAGCAGCAGCAGCAGCAGCACCTCGAGCGCTTCGTCCACTGCCACCGCGACCTCGACCGGCAAGCCCACGAGTGTGCCAAACGTTGGCGGCGCCGCTGCTCTGAAGGTGCCCGGTGCTCTGATGGGTCTGGTCATGGGTGCGATGGCGATGCTGTAAACCAGAAGCCTCCGTCTACAATATTTTACCTTTTCACTTCTTCTTCTCTTCATTCTTATTCTTAATTAATGTATCATTTTTGTATAACCAGTCAATGTGCGCGACCAACAGAATGACATGGCTGTGTTAGTACTGATATTACTCTTTTTTTTTAAAAAAAAATTTTTGTCTTTGTCTTGTCTTGGTACATGTATTCATGTATGTATGCTTAAATATGGAATTCCGAATATGTACAGTACAATGTACAGTACCAGGAACAGCAAGTACCGTACAGTACGTACGTACATTACATGAGTGGGTGAATTTGAATAATGATCTTTTCAGTATTAACCAAGAAGTCGTAGTTAGTACTTACTGTACTGTCCTGTTGTATATCTATATTGTAGTGTACAGTACAGTAAATAGTTTCTGCAAGACTAAACACGGAATTAACCCATTATATTACTGGATAGGATATTAGTTAGGTATACGAGTAAATAGGTAAATCAGTTTTGTTACCCATTAAGGAAGGATCTTTATATATCTTTATATATAACACTTGTATGCAAACGTACAGTAGAAGCGTACAGGAATGTACATATATACATGTAGGTGGAATGGAAAAGAGTAATAATAAGTGAGATCAAGTAATAATTGATCCACGTACAGTACTGTACATACACTACACTACAGTAAATAAATATATGTATCCAACAAAAGATACATTATAAGTAGATAGATAGAATAATAAATAAATATGGAGAGGTTCAAGTTCTTTGATTGGATGATCTTCTTTTCGAAACTTTTGAAACTTTTGAAACTTGCTTTTGAAGAAGTCTTGCTTTTGAGTAAATTGAGATTGAAGGAAAGAAATGAGATGAGGCATTCTGATTGTCATACTTAAACAAATAAATAAATGAAATAAACCGAATCTGAATCCGAACTCGTTTCTTTTCTTTCTTTTTATTAGCCCACCTTCTCATCCTCATCCCCCTCCCCAACAGGCGCCAGCACCGGCGTAGCAGACACAGACACAATCTCCACGCGATCCAACAACCGACTCGCCTCTTCGGACTCTTCTTCTTCCTCTTCCTCCGCAACCGCATGCGTGTACAGCCTGTTGAAAGCCGAGTCGCTCGAGAGCAGCGTGTACGGGTCGTCGAACTCGATCAGTCGGCCGCCTTCCAGCATGGCGACCTTGTCGAAGTCCAGGATCGTGTCCAGCTTGTGCGCTACGGCGAGTATCGTGTGGTTGGAGAATTTCTCCCGGATGACGCGCTGCATGATCTCGTCGGTTTTGCTGTCGACGCTGTGGAGTGGTCAGAATCGTTTTTTAAGGTGATGGATATAAAAAAGGCGATGTGATGGATAAGTGCAGGGCTAGGGTTATGCATACTTGCTGGTAGCTTCGTCCAGGACGAGAATCGTGCTCGGCCGGAGCATCGCGCGTGCCAGGCAGAAGAGCTGTTTCTGCCCGTGCGAGAGATGCAGCTCTTCAATGTCGACGTCCAACCCGCCCTTCTCTTCGATGACAGGCAGCAACTGCACGCTCTTCAGCGCGTCGCGGATCGCCTCGTCCGTGCAAGAGCTGCCCGGGTCCGCATTCAGCCGTACACTGCCCTTGATCAGGAACGGATCTTGCGCGACTCCGGTGATCCGTGATCGGATCTCCTGGCGAGGGATCGTCGACAGATCCACGCCGTCGATGGTGATGCATCCGGAGGAGAGCTCGATCATGCGGAAGATGGTCAGGATTAAAGAGCTCTTGCCACTAGAAAACTGTAAACAAAAAAATAATTCACGATAGGAGGACTAACGACGATGGCTTACCTTCCTGTCCGTCCACAGATTCCAATCTTCTCACCGCTCTGAATCGACAGCGTGATATCTTGCACGACAGGTTCGGAAGCCCTGATTCGAAGAGTAACGTGAGATAAATTCTTTTTAACATCAGCTAAGACATGTACATACCTATATCCAGCAGACACAGACTTGAACTCGATTGCTCCCTGAGACGGCCACGAGGGCGGAACAGGGTTGTTTTCAGACGGCAGATCTTCAGACTGAACGCTCTCATTGAACACCTTGACACGCGCAATCGCCCCAATGTGCGTTTCAAGATTCGTCCAAAATGTGATGAGCATCTTGATGCTCTGGCTGAATTGGATGATATTCAGAAGGGCAACGCCCACGTAGCCTGCACTGATGGTTCCGCGCAGTTTGACCACGAGGATGATCAGGATGGTCGCGATGGCAGCGACCACCAGGTCCAGAACGAGCGTCAACCAGCGCTGGACGGCAAAGAGCAGGTAGAAAGGTCGCTGGGAACGGTCGAGCAGTTTGCGACTCTTCTCCTCCATGGCCTTTTGCCATCCAAATGCCCGGATCGTCACTAGACCGCTGAGGCATTCCGTAAACTGGGAGTATAGCGGCGCTTTGGCCTCGAGGTCCATGAACCGGAGTTGGCGGGAAGTGCGCAGATAGAATTTCTGAATAAAGTAGAGCGCGATTATCACGAATGGGAATGAGATAGCGGTGTACGGTGACGCGACGCCAATCAGGGTCGTTTGCGCAATGCAAAGGACAAAAGCTGTGGCCAAGAACGATTCGTTAGTTTCTATCTCCAAATAGAGTATATGATGTGTTGATGGTTTCTCACTTGCAAAGGTGTTAAGCGCGGCAACCGGCAGATCCATATCGATCAGTTGGAGATCCTGGCTAAACCTGTTGAGTGTCACACCAGTATCGGTGGTGGAAAAGAAAGTAGTCGGAGCGCTGTGAAAGAATTAGCACTGCAGGAAGAACTAAAAAAGTTCTGTGTCAGCATGTACCTGAGCACGGTATTGAGCAGTGTCCAGTGAAACCTCTCTCCGGACTTGGGTACCATGGTTATGATCAATTGCCTGCATCGCCATAATCAGCCTGCGTCTTCAAGACTTGCTATACGCTGCGACACTGACCAGCAGCTGATGATCAGGGAGATCAGTGCAAGCACGCCTAGCATAACATATATCCCTAGATAGTAGTTCGTTTGCTCGTATGGATACTGCACGTTGGATGCAGCCCACCACTTCAACCAGATGCCTTTCAGCAGCAGTTAGCATCGGCATACGCTGCCCGGCAGGATTGTACTCACTTGGGAACGAAATGCAAAAGATGAAAGACGAGATGCACACCACAAAAATCATAATAGGGAGCCATCCGACGGACCCCAGGTAATAGCGGTATATCGAAAAATCGCCAGTCTGCCTGTTGGCCTCTGCCTCGAAATCCTCACTCGTCTGGATCGTATTCTGATCTGCAGTGGGCTTGGGCACCGTTTTCAATGTCGACTCCTCCACGCAATAATCCCAGTCCGGGCGCGGCAGGTTGAAGCTGGATACATAGCCCCCAGTCGCAGAGAGGACGTGAAAGTTCCCTTGTTCCGCGATCCTGCCTTCTGCGTTTAGGACGACAATGTGATCGGCGTAAGGGAGGCGTTTGGCTGTGATGGACATTGTGTTAGCGCGAGGAAGAGAAGAATACACTGACAAACGGCCAGCTTACCAGACGAGGAGGCGATAAGCACTGTCGAGTTAAAACGACGCCAGATACCGGATTTGCCGATCAGGCTATGGAATATATGATTCTCTGTAGACGTGTCGAGTCCACTGAATGGATCGTCAAGAATGATAATCTCCTTTTTAGCGTACACGGCCCTAGCCAATGCCTTGGTTATAGAATTATCATTAGCTGAATTGGAAACCCAGATTCATCAACCGGAAACTACTCACCACTCGTTGACTCTGTCCCGTGCTGAGTGCGACACCTTTGCTCCCGATCATTGTCTGATCTCCGCGAGGAAGCTGACGAAGATCTTCCTCCAGGGCACACGCATGGATGACAGTGGCGTACCATTGCTCATCGAAGTCGCTAGTGGTGACTATACTATTTCGGATGGTTTCATTCATGTGCCATGGGGTCTGATCGCAGAATGCGACGCGATCGGACGACAGGTGCACCGAGCCTGCCATGCAGGGCACTTCACCCAGGATTGCCTTCAGCAGGGTGGATTTGCCGCAGCCAACAGGACCGACGATCATGGTCAATCTACTTTCCGGTACCGTCACGGTGATGGATTTCAAAAGGGGTGTCTTCTCGCGATCCCATCCAAAATCGGCTTGGTAGACTGTAATGGCATCACTCGACCGTAGATCGTTCGACTTCTTCAGCGTCGATTGCTTCAGGATTTCAGCATCGCTAGTTATGATGCTGGACTTTTCGGACATATTCAGGCCCATCTCACTTTTCGTCTCGTTTTTCAGAAGCGATTCCTCCGACCCTCCTAACGAAGACATCGCCCTGTTATCAACAAGAACATCTTTATCTAGAAACGTTTGGATACGATTGAAGCAGCCGACAGACCCCATGAACGCCGACAGAGACATGACAAGGGACGCTAGTGGCTCTGTCAATAGCGCAAAGATCGACAGCGAGGTGTATACTCGCGCCGTGTCGAGCGCGACGTTGTCGCCTCTGTTGTGAGAAATGGCCACAAAAGCGGCAAATGTGATGATCGGAGCAAAGATCTGCGTCAAATATCCTGGGGAAAATGTGTTAGGGTAATTGACAAAGCGAACGTGGAATAGTAGTTCTGTTGCGTACCGAAAGCCATATTCCATATTAAGATGCGCCTGAACCTTTTGGAGATAGTCAACTCCTCAATCCGAAGACCGTGCAGGCTCTTTAACAGTATGTCTTTTAAGCCTGTCATTTTGATACCTTTCATCGAGCCAAGCATGGCGGTCGTTGAGGAGATGCGCCTTTCGATGGCTTCCAGCCAGAGCGACTGGCGGGAGACTACAAACCCTAACACGATGATCGACCCAACAAGCGAAACTACAGATCGGACAGGTAAGAAACTATATCCTGCCCTCTAGAAATGCGCCACTCACCCAATGACACACCGATTGGAACGACGCAAGAGACACCGAGCTGTCCCTCGAGGAGGACGATTCCTACAGCGATTTCGGCCAAATTGGCCCAAATCTCATGCATAGTCTGCCAGCCTTGAACAATCTGCTCAATGTCGGCGCTCATTAGGGTCAGTGACGCCGCCGGATCAATATCACGCGCACTTAAGTGCGTTGTCTTGCGGGTGAGCATGGAAACAAGTCCTCCTCGAACCATAGTAACAGCTCGGTATGTCAGATGCTGATATTGACCCATTGTGATCTAATAATAAATCGCATCGATCAGCCTTGTCCAGGGAAGTCCGTCGCTTCGCACGTACCGCCGAGCCCACGTAGACAATGATATAGGCACCGATCAACCCATAACCGACATGTGTTGTCCAGGGCGTGACATCATCCACGGAAAGGATAACTGCTCTGTTCATCAGGAGAGGTTGGCAGAAGTTCAGCCCGATCAGACAGGCTCGTGGAGGAATGACGGCTAAAAGGGGCCACTTCAGCGTTTTTAGTGAGACAAGGAACAGGGAATTGGGCCCTTTCTGCGTCACTAATGATGGGTCAGAACCTGGGTTGCGTTGTTTTCAGTGGAACCGGCATACCTTTGGCCCATGCAGCCTCCATTCTTGAATGAACTCGTTCAGACAGGAGCTGCTTGTCGAGGAAAAAAAGGTCGTCCACCGAGAGCAGCTTCGAGAAGCCTCTTGCAAGAAGTGGGTTTAACCACCAGAAGAAACTCCTGGTGAATATACTCGCTGTGGCTTCCGGTGGATAAGCCTTGTACTCCGAACGAAGGATCCATCGCTTCTCCACCGACTCCAGCAACAGGGCCACCAGCTTCAACCCCACGGCCACTGTGAAGACAATGGCAATGGTCTTGTTGTAGTCATCTGTTTGGCGCAACCACAACGTCCGGGAGCGGGCGACATCGAAGACAAGCGTGAAGAAGAGGTAGACGTCCAACAAGAAGGAAGGACGGACGGCGCGGGTGTGCTCATAGTACGAAAGCAAGCTAAATACCAGAGTGGCCGCGAGCGTCACTGCTTGTATCGGAATAGAAGCCCTTGTTCTCTCTGAAGAGGGCAGAGTCCAGAGCGTCAGAAGGGCCAGTTGGGTGGCGCCCAGCCCAGCGTAAGTTGCCTACCGGCAAAAGGAATCGTAAGTACAGCAGCGAGCCCCGGCATGAAGCCGTGAAGGAAAGAGCACACATACAATTTTCAGAGGCAGCAACACGCTATGTACAACCTTTCTGGGCCTCCTGAAAAGGTAGAAAACACGAAACGGGACCACGAGGACCAGCAGGGCCAGCGGGAGGACTGCGAGGATGGTCTCTTCAAATAGGAGAGTGAAATCAAAGCCACCCCGACAGGAGAGCGCGTACAGGCGAAAGGTGTTGTCTGTCTCTGCACAAGAGGCGCTGTACGATTCCATTGTGTCTGCCCGTCTGGATCGGTTTCGCAACAGGACGACAGCACGAGGAGAGGGTGGTATACACGGCAGCCGGCAACGGGTCCATCCATGCCTTTTACACCTGCCCGTCACAAACACCAAGCGGCGTTCCGTGTGTTGCCATCCAGGATGCTCCTAGTGCCGTCCCCAGCGCTCGCGGACTTGCGAGAGGAACTTGGCGGTTCTGCACGGCTGAATTCGCCGAGGATTGTGCTGGACATCGGATATTGATTCAATCCCGACGCCTCGAAATACAGGCGCCATCCTGCCAGGTGGTGCAGACCAGGAACCGTTCTAATTTTGGCTGCCAGCCGAGGGTGGAGCTGCTGGTTACACCTCGTGTCTGGAGGCTGGATACGAGGTCCCTGGGAGCTTGTGAAGACGTGGAGAGCGAGTCAGACCCGCTGCGTCTTCCGTGCTCGCGTTGGCGAGCGTCATCCAGGACATCATCCGACGTAGATGGAGGATAATCACCATGAGCAGTCGACATGACGCATCCAAAGATCGATCTGGCCAGCATCGAGGGCTGGTGCAGTCGGCATGGGTCCGCCAGGCCTGTCACCGCGGAAGATCGGCGCCTCCGGATGGCTTCAGGCCCAATCGTCCGATGAGATCTCTGCAGCCCAATCTTCGACGGATCTTGGGTTCGGTTAGTCGTCGATTCGTCCGAGTTCGGGCGAGACGTGCGGCGACGGCCAACCTCGGACGGGCTTAGCGGTGACAGCGAGGCAGCATCGCAGCAAAAGCAATATAAGGCACACTTCTTGCTTTTGGCAGCTTCTCCACGAACGCCTATCAGGCCCCTGGCATGCTTGCTGTCCCAATACCGAGCCCTGCGACTGCCGCCGTCCAGGCTTCTAGAACGGCTGCAGATGTGCTGTCGGGAAGTTTGGCTCGACATCCGGTGCTCCGGAGGATGGTTACACGGCAGAGGTTGCTCTGTAGGGACACCAATGCGGTATTTCTTCACCACAAGGGCCGTCGCCGAGCCTGAGGCCTGCTGGAATGATGCCCTGCTGCCCTGGTGTGCGTTTGCACCTCTTTATCCCCCGACCGGGATCATGACAGGTGCTCGCCTCAGGCGCTGATGCCATCGGCAGTCTTCTCCACCGGACATCTGTTGGGGCCAACTGTCAGTCCGGGGAGATCATGATGAGATCTAGATCCTCGAGAGACTCGGAGGAGCATTAACGCCATTGTCTCTGTAAATGGGACCATCTCTGCCACCAATCGAGTATGTCTCATGGCCCATGCGATGCCTCTGTTTGTGCTGACCTGTATTCTCCATCTCATCATGCCATAGTTCCCGCAGCAGCCAATGGCTTTCTACATGACACGTACCCCGGATCGCTCGCTGTTTCTCACCGCTGGCCAAGACTAGGGATACGAACGCTCGGAATCGGCCGTGAATTCGCTTCCACCTCTTACGTTTTTGGCGCTTCACAACACGAACCTGGAACCCGTTGTCCGGCTGATTCTGCTCCGTATTTGATCTCCTTCCTCATGAGTCGTGGAACTAACATTATGACGGACGCTATGAGGCGGACAGTATTACCAAACTGACCACTATTGTGTCGCATGAAAGCTAATATTTTTCTCTAAAACGGAAAAAAAAGAATTGAACGGGGCCAATCAACGCATGCAGCCGGCGGACCAATCGACTTTTCAAAAGATGACATGTGTCAATCGTTCCTAGACCGCTTAATGCGCGTGGCTATCCCCTGCAAGTATATGTGTCCATTCTTCCATGGAGATGGCAAAAGGGAAATCGCCTGAATCGCGAGCCCAGAAGAAGGGGAAACCCTAAGCGACGTATACGAACACGAAGGGCACTCAAAAAGGTCGGACTGCAGATTGAGAAGCAGACCGTCTCTTAGCTCACAATCTGCGCCGTAGGGCTATCTGGAATTAGCTCCTGCTCAAGGGTATCCCAATCTGTATCAGCTGCAGATGGTCTCTTTCGCTTACCAGGGGGAGAACCAAAAATAACCACGGGGCTAAATTCGGACTACCTATCTGGGTATCAAGCTATGCCGGGCAGCTTGCAAGAGGTACGAGGTAAGCAAAAGCAAAATATGGTGTGGAGAGGCTGCTTGACTCCCATCTCGTGGGGCCGGGTGGCGCCCATAACCCTCGCCTGACAAGGGGTCCTGCAGCATCCTTGGAGGTCGTGAAAGTCAATTGCTCTTAGCTTCAAATTTTGTATCATGGACAGGACAATAAGGGCGAACGACATTGAAACACTTGAGATCCCGGCGGCATTCGGAGCCGATTCTCTTCGGATGTACCGGCTAGAATAACAAAGACGGGTCATTTCTCCCCTGGCTGGTGGTAGCCGGCTGTCCCATGTCTACGGCAATGTCTCAGGCGACGTCCGGCTGAGGTCGGCAATTTTTTCTGTGCCAATATCGACCGAGGTGTGGAAGCGTAGTATGAGAATGGTGGCGTTCATGCCTCCAGGCTTCCGAGAAGCTTTGCTCTCTATCCGAACCTGCGGCTGCTTTTTGTTCCGAGCATCCAGCTATGGTTTTCTGGCGATCTGATGATGATTAAAGGAATTGGGTCTGACTGTCGTAAAAGGCAATGGAAGGCATAATAGACCTGGTGTAGGCAACTTGATAGCGCGGTGGTCTTTTCAATAATTTCCAATTCCCTACCAAAGCGATCACAACATCGTCTTCTTCATCTTGTCGTCATTCGTACTACAGGAGAACGGGAACTCGGTTGTCAGGCGCAATTAACCATCATTGCATGTGATATTCTTCTTTTGCATCACAAGCGTCTCCGGTGATTACTGCTGTATGTCTGTATCAACCGCCGTGGAACTGATCTCGACGGCGCTGATTCAAAAGTGGACGCTGGTATAGAGAAGCCCATACGTCCAAGAAACCATCGCAATGGCAGCACAGGTCCCAGCAGACAAGGATGCCGACGGTGGTGCGGCATCTTTTGCCTGCTACTTTCCAGGCGTTCGGACCGGAGCTCACGCGACCAAGCGCCGTATGTCATCGCGGATGACCCTCGATCATCTGGAAGACATCCTGAATGCAGCTGAAGAACACCAAGAAACGGTGTCCTGCGTGCTGCGAGCCGCATGGGCTTTGGTTCTTCATTACTACACCAGGTCAGAGGATGTGTGTTTTGGCTATGATGAATTGGACATGGGCGGTTCTGTCGCGGAAGTGGCAGAACCACATGGCTCATCTCCTCGGACGTCTGTCGCGAGGGCCATAGTCGAAGACAGCATGTCTCTGAAGGAAGTGGTCGACCAAACAAAAGGTAAGTTTCTCGTTGCTGAAGAAAATGGACTGGCTGGAGCAGCAGGAAATTCGCGCGTTGCTCGTTCTCTTCACAACACGGCAGTGACGCTGCGCGTGCGCCGCTCTTCCCCAAACGCGCGTGATGCAGCGACCTTCGTGCAACCACAGATTGGAATTGCTCTCCCGGAGGAGGTACGTACCTTAGTGACTTTCCACGATCAGCAAGACTTGAACAAATTGACACTGACGGTCTATCCAGTGCAAGGTTCGAGTTCTAGCCAAGTACATTAATAATTCGCTCAGTGTCTTCTTGGAATGGTGGCATCCAGACATCTCTCCATCGCTCGCCTCCAACATTGTAGAGGTATACAATCGCATGCTGAGCAATATTTTGACGAAGCCAGATTCCGTCGTCAAAGACCTCAATTTTATTACCGAGCGTGACAGGACGCAGATTCTTCAATGGAATTCAATCGTACCAGACACTGTGGAAAGATGCATCCACGAAGTCATCGACGATCAGGTCCTTCTCCGGCCAGATTCAGAGGCAGTCTGTGCCTGGGATGGCAGCCTGACGTTCCTCGAACTTGATCGCGTAGCCTCCAGGCTTGCTCATTACCTGGTGGAACTTGGGGTGGGCCCCGAGACACGAGTATCTCTCTGCTTTGAGAAATCGGTAATTTATCCCGGAGGTTGCTTGATGCTGTTTCTTCGCTAATTTTCTGTATAAGAAATGGAACATTGTCGCCATGCTGGCAGTTTTAAAAGCAGGGGGAGCGTTCGTTCCTCTTGACCCTGGCCATCCGATCCCTCGATTACAAGCTCTCGTGCGGGCTGTGGATGCCAAAATCCTGCTTTGTTCCTCTCCGCATGCTGCTGACCTTGCAGCGGTTGCGGAGACGGTTCTGGCTGTGGACGACGATATGATTTCGTCTCTTGCGACTAGACCGACAGGACAACATTGTCTCCCTCGCCTACAAGGTAGTAATGCAGCTTATATTCTATTCACATCCGGATCAACTGGAGAACCGAAGGTAAGACACGCACTGAACCTTGAATAGAGCTGAAATATCTAACCCGGTACTTCCAGGGTACCGTCATCGAGCACCAGGCATACTGCTCTAGTGCCAAGGCGCATGCATCCCCGTTGCTGATCGACTCCGATTCACGGGTGCTGCAGTTTGCGGCGCATACCTTCGATGCCAGCCTTGTGGAAATCCTTACTTCCTTGATGCACGGGGCTTGCGTCTGTATACCGAGTGAGGAAGCGCGCCTGAACAACATCGTTCATACGATCAATGACATGCGTGTCAATCACGCAGTTCTCACACCGTCATTCATCCGATTCCTCGAGCCGTCCGCTGTTCCAGGTCTTAAGAGCCTGGTCTTGGCTGGAGAAGCTCTGTCTCAGGCGAATGTCGAAACATGGTCAAAGATCAACCTAGCCAACGGCTACGGCCCTACCGAAAGCTCTGTTGCTGCGGTCGTCAACTCCCCGTTAACGAGTGGCACGGATTGTCAAGACATTGGCTTTCCTGTTGGAGTTCGATGCTGGGTCGTTGACCCGGATGACCATGACATCCTCCTCCCAATTGGTTGTACAGGAGAGCTGCTGCTAGAAGGACCTTCTCTAGCTCGTTGTTACCTGAACAACCCGGAAAAAACAGCAGAGTCATTTATATACGATCCTCAGTGGGCGAAAATCGAAAATTCCAGCGGCAGTGACCGGCGTTTCTACAAAACAGGTGATCTAGTTCGCTACAATTCCGATTCTGGATCATTCAATTTTGTTGGTAGAAAGGATACGCAAGTGAAGTTCCACGGCCAGCGAATTGAATTGGGAGAGATTGAATCTCACCTTGCAGCTGACCCTAATATCAAACATGGGCTGGTGCTGCTTCCAAAGTCAGGACGTCTGGCACAGAAACTCGTGGCTGTTATAACTCTGTCCGATAAGCTACTTGATGAGTCTCTAATACAGCACAAAAACTCTTTAAAACTGCTGGACCACCCCAACAAAGAGAAAAATGTTGCCGAAATCAGGGAGAGAATAAGTTCCTTGCTACCGGTATATATGGTACCCTCTATATGGCTTTGTGTGGAAGCCCTGCCAGTTCTTGCGTCTAGAAAACTGGACAGGAAGGCAGTATCAAGATGGGTGGAGGCGATGCGGGAAGATGAATTGTTGCTGCAAACCGCACAAGAACTCGAAACTGCCACTGGAGAGATCGAGGAAGTAGGGACTGATATTGAGAGCAAACTGCGTGAGATCTGGAGTCGCGTTCTCAACATCCCTCTCAACAGAACCAGCCTAAATCAAAGTTTTCTGAGCCTGGGAGGAGACTCGATTACAGCGATGACTTGTATGAACCAATGCAAGCTGAAGGGCATCGGTCTGACGGTGCAAGAAGTGCTGCGGAGCAAGTCCATAAGGGAGCTTGCAGCTTGCGCGAAATTGGTCAGCCATCGGAGCGACTACCACGAAGAGTTGGAGACACCATTCGACCTATCGCCGATACAAAATCTCCACTTTCAAGTTCGTGACGACGATAAAGGACACTTTAATCAAAGCGTCTTCCTCCGTGTCACTCGCGAGATCGCTGAGAACGATCTACGCCACGCTGTCGAGACTATCATCTCTCGCCACTCTATGCTGAGGGCTCGATTTGTTTACAACAGATCGGAAATGAAATGGCAACAACGCATAACCAGTGAACGAGAGAAGTCCTACCGTTTCAGGGTCCACAGACTCAGTACTCTGGACGAAGTGAAAGTGGCTATCGCCGATAGCCAGAGCTCACTCAATGCCGTGCTTGGACCGGTGCTGGGGATAGATCTCTTCCATGTAGACGGCGACAGCCAACTATTATCTATGATTGGCCACCATCTCGTTATCGACTTGGTATCCTGGCGAGTCATCTTGGAAGATTTGGAGGAACTGCTACTTCATCCTCGCACACCAGCACTTCTTGAGAAGACCTTGCCATTTCAGAGCTGGTGCAATCTTCAGGCTGATCACTGCCGCAATTATCAATTAGAAAAGACCCACCCTGTGTACGATGTTCCTGGCTGTGACCTCACATACTGGGGAATGCAAGACCGTCCCAATATCTATGGAGATGTCGTTTGTCACGGTTTTGAACTCGATTCCACCACTACATCGTTGCTGTTGACCGAATGCAACGAGGCGCTTCGAACAGACCCAGTTGATCTGTTCCTAGCTGCATTGATCTATTCCTTCAGCGACACTTTCAGGGATCGTTCTGCACCAGTTGTCCATAATGAGGGCCACGGTCGAGAAGCATGGGATGCATCAATCGATATCTCGCGCACAGTTGGGTGGTTTACCATAATCTACCCGGTCTCCGTACAAGCTCATGCTTTGAGCCAGATAGTTGAGACTTTGGTGCAGGTGAAAGACCTCCGCAGACGCGTCACAGATAACGGACGGGCGTATTTTGCGCACAGCATACTTACCGGCCGGAACAGCAAATCATATCGTCATATGGAGATCACATTCAACTTTCTGGGACGGTATCAGCAGCTGGAAAGGACAGGAGGCCTATTCCAGCCGGTTGAAGGATTGGCTGGGGAGACAACCCAAGGTGGTGGAGCAGCGGACGTTGGAAGAACCACTCCACGCTTTGGACTGTTCGAGATATCCGCTGTCGTGGTTCAAGATACTCTTCGATTTTCATTCTCGTTTAACGGGACTATGAGACATCAAGAACGTATCCGGCAATGGATTTCGTCCTGTCACCGAGCCCTCAGCCAACTTTCAAAGGAGTTGCTGTCGATCCAAAGTCGTGCGACAATCAGTGACTTTCCCCTCCTCTCTTTGACTTATGAGGACCTCTCGAGAATGACTGCCGAGACCCTGCCTCAAATGGGAATTAGAACTCTGGACGAAGTTGAGAATATATATCCGTGCTCTCCCATGCAGCGGGGCCTCATGATCAGCAGGACTCGGGACAGCTCTTTCTATGCAGTTCATGGTACCTACGAGGTAAAGGCGGCAAATAATCAACAAGTGGACGTTGAGCGACTTGCGCATTCATGGCAGCAAGTGATTGCTCGTCACGCTATGCTTCGAACCGTGTTTGCGGAGAACCTGGCCGCGAATGATCTGTACTGCCAGATCGTGCTTCGCAGCTATAATTTCCAACCTCCAATAGTACGTTGCCTCGATGAGCATGAGGTATTGCCGATTTTGGACACGCACTTCATGGTGAGCAGCGATCGCAAGCCAGCTCACCAATTTACCATTTGCCAAACGGAAACCGGCAGAGTTTTCTGCAGACTCGAAATAAGTCATACTATAATGGACGGAGCCTCGATTTCCATTATCTTGCGGGACCTAGAGCTGGCGTATTCTGGCAGGCTCAGTCAGACTGGGCGGCCTCTTTTCAGCAATTTCATCTCTTATTTACAGATGCAGCCGCAAGACGCCAGTGTTGAATACTGGAAGTCTTACCTATCAGACATGGAGCCCTGCCATGTTTCCATACTCAATGATGGCTGCACTGCTGAAAGAGAGTATCGAACGTTGCGGTTGGAGTTCAAGGACTTTTCTCGGCTTCAACCACTATGCGAAAAGTACGGGCTGACGGTCGCAAATGCTCTCCACGGAGCCTGGGCTCTTACTCTTCGTTGCTACACTGGCTCTGAGGAGGTATGCTTTGGCTATCTGCTATCTGAGAGGGATGTTCCAGTGGATAAAGCTGAGGACGTGGTTGGACCGATGATCAACATGCTCGCTTGTCGCGTCAAAATGCCCTCAGACAGTGTGCTTAGCCAAGTTCTGGAGCAAATCCAGGAAGACTACATGAGGAGCCTTCCGTTCAAGCATACTTCCCTTGCTGATGTTCAACATGCTTTGGGACTATCGGGAACTGCTCTGTTCAACACTTGCTTTTCCTTCAGGAAGCTCCCACCTCCAGAAACTCACCGTCAGCAAGTAATTGAGTTCTCTGAATTCGCGGGATTACACGACCCCACCGAATATCTTGTGACAGTTAATGTTGAGGCCTCGGACAAGAACGCCGTTATCGATCTAGACTATTGGACGGACAGTCTCTCCGATGGACAAGCAGCAAATATAGCCAGTACTTTCCTCAGAGCGCTTGAGAATATTATGGATCATGCAACGGAACGGCTGGGACAGCTTGAGTATGTGAGCGATGGTCATTTGCGGCAAATAGCAGCGTGGAATGGCGCAATGCCGCCAGTCATCGATCGGTGCATCCATGATGTGTTTCAGGATCAAGTCAAAATGCACCCTGAATCACCAGCTATCTGCTCGTGGGACGGAAGCTTTACCTATGCTCAGCTTGACGATCTCTCGTCACGATTGGCCCACTACCTCGTTATGCTGGGTGTAGCGCCAGAGACGTTCGTAGCTCTCTGTTTTGAGAAATCGGCGTACACGATCATCTCAATGTTAGCCGTTCTGAAAGCCGGTGGTGGTTGCGTTCCACTAGATGCAGGACATCCAAAGGCTGCTCTCGACTTGCGCGTTCTTGAAACTGGCGCTCAAATCGTCCTTGCATCACCTTCTCGCGCCAATCTGCTTGATGATATCGTTCCTTATGTCATCCCTGTTAACGATTCTTTTCTAAGTCATCTCCCAGTAGGTGGCGAGTTGGTGTGTACTGCAGCGCAGCCCTTCAACACCGCATTCATTATCTTCACATCCGGCAGTACTGGAAAGCCAAAAGGTGTTGTCCTTGAGCATCGCAGCTTGGTAACCAGCGCCGAAGCCCACGGCGCTGCGCTGGGAATAGGTCCCGCTTCTCGAGTATTACAATTTGCATCATATTCTTTCGACAACAGTTTGGAGGAAATCTTCACGACTCTTATGAGAGGGGGCTGCGTGTGCGCCCCTTCAGAGCATGACCGGATGAATAACCTGGCAAAGGCTATGAATGAACTGGATGTGAACTTCGCAGATTTGACAGCAACTGTGGCGGCTTTCATCCAGCCGTCAGATGTTCCTAAGCTGAAAGGACTCGCAATTGGTGGTGAAGCTCCTACAAAAGAAATCAGAGACAGTTGGGGAAACATTCTTCAACTCCAGAACGTGTATGGACCGACCGAATGCTCAATCAACTGTGCCCATAACCCTGACATTGGAGACTCGGATGATGTCACGAATATTGGCCGCAGCATTGGAAGTGTTTCATGGATCGTCGATCCTGAGAATCACAACAATCTTCTTCCCGTTGGGTGCGTGGGGGAATTATTGGTCGAGGGACCAATTCTCGCAAGGGGTTATTTGAATGATACGGAGAAGACGCGACAGAACTTCATCGAAGATCCCACGTTCATATCCGGACTCCAACGCGAGGGTGTGATAAATGTTGAAGCTCCAAAGGTAAAACGGAGGATGTATAAAACTGGCGACTTGGTGCGATACAATTCTGATGGATCCATGGTATATCTGGGAAGGAAGGACACCCAAGTCAAATTGAATGGGCAACGCATTGAATTGGGGGAGATTGAACATCGCATCAAGGCGGCTTTATCCTCGGAAAGCCAGTGTGCTGTGGACCTGGTAACCGGCCGCAATCAGAAAAACAGAAAAGCGTTGGTTGCTTTTCTGTGTCTCAAAACAGACGACTCGAGTTCTGCGGGAGATGGGGACCGCATCATCATGCCAACCTCGGAATCATTCCAATCCGTTGCGAGGACTTTGCAAACTTCTCTGGCTTCCTCATTACCAGCTTATATGGTTCCCAATCTGTACATGCCGGTCTCGTCCATGCCGCTGACCTCTTCTGGGAAACTCAATCGTCGAATGTTACGGACCACGGCAGAGAGTATTTTGGAAGAAGACGCATCTGCCTACAGACTTGGTGGTCAAAGTGGGCGCGCCCCTTCTACTCTGCCCGAGAAGATCTTGCAAACCTTATGGGCCTCCGTGTTGGGAATTGATGCCAGTACCATTAGCGTTGATGACACGTTTTTCCGACACGGTGGTGACTCTATAGCCGCTATCAAGCTTGTAGCTGTTGCTCGTCAGGAGGGTTATAGTCTCAGTGTTGCAGACATCTTTCAAGCACCCAGACTTTCCGAAATGGCGCAAAACATATCTGGTTTGTCGGTGGCGTCACTAGCGGAGGAGTTGAGTGCGCCTGTCGAGCCATTCACGCTGCTGAGGCTAGATATTCCTATTTCTGAACTCAAGAGCGAGGTCGCTTCGATTTGCCAAATTACTGAAGATGCAATAGAAGACATCTACCCATGCACTGCACTCCAAGAGGGGCTCATTGTGCTTTCCAGCAAGCAGCCAGGGTCATACGTGACGCAGAACATTTATGCATTACCGCCTGATATCAATGTTCGGAAGTTCGAAGCGGCATGGCAGAAGGTTGCCGAATCTGAAGTTATTCTGAGGACAAGAATCATTCATTCGAAGACGCATGGCTTTCTTCAGGTCGTGGTCAAAGAACCGCTCGTGTGGGAATCAGCAGATGACGTTGCAGCGATTTCAGAAACAAAACAACTGACCTCAGCCAATGGAGGTGTTCTCAGTAGGTACACAATTGTTGGGGAAGGTACAAAATCTCCGCGCTTCGTTTGGACTGCTCATCATGCAGTGTATGATGGATGGAGTCTGCCTACGCTCCTCAGCAAAGTGCACTCATGCTATGACGAGACAAAGAAATTCGACGGAGAACTTGGATGTCCTTATCCCCAGTTCATCAAGTATCTAGTCAACATCGACCCCGAGCAGTCCAATGAATTCTGGCGACAAAGACTGGAAGGTATAACGACCACCAAGTACCCGCCGTCTCTCGGCGCATCTTATAAGCCCTCACCAACAAGCCAGTTGTCTCGAACGCTACGGCTGTCTAAAACTTCAGGGCAGGACGTCACCGTACCTTCTATCGTACGCGCAGCATGGGCCTTGACCATTGCTGTGTATTCCTACACTGACGATGTCGTCTTTGGTGAAATCCTCACGGGTCGTGATGCGCCTCTTCCTGGAATTTCCGGCATGATTGGACCAGCCCTGGCAGCAGTGCCTATGAGAATTCGGATTAACCGCGAGCTCAACGTCGCTGAATTTTTACGCGATGTTCAAGGCCAGGCAGCTGCCGTCATGCCCTATCAATTTACCGGTCTCCAGAATATCATGAAGCTGAGTGACGATGCCAAAGTAGCCTGTGGTTTCCAGAACTTGCTGGCTATCGAACGTGATACTGACGAGACACCCGGGGGATTCCTGAATCTCCTGAGCGCGAATTCTGGAGGAGCCAATTTCTACACGTATCCGTTGAACATTTCATGCGCAATAGGCGATGGACGGATGGAAGTCAAAGCTCATTATGATGAGAAACTCATTCCAACATATCAACTTGACAGGCTGCTCTCTCAATTTGAAACGCTACTCGCGAATCTATGCTCCCAGGCAAATGCAGAAGAAAAAGTTGGCCAAATGGAACTTGTTGGCAGGGAAGATTTGACAACAATACACAGATGGAATGCGGACTCCTTGAAGGTTGTTGACAGGTGCATTCAGGACCTGATTGACGACAATATGCGACTACATCCCGATGAATTGGCGGTTTGCTCGTGGGATGCTACATTCACTTATCGAGAACTCGACCAATTATCGACGTCTTTAGCTCACCGTATTCGAGAACTAGTCAACCACAAGCCCGAAACATTTATACCGATATGCTTCGAGAAGTCGGCATTTGCTGTGGTTGCAATGTTGGCGATCTTGAGAGCCGGATGTGCATTCGTTCCTCTTGACCCGCAACATCCGACGTCGCGCCTCCGAGAGATGGTCACAGATCTGGACGCCAGACTTATCCTGTGTTCACCATGCCACATATCTCTTTGCAGACAGGTCGCAGCTCATGCTCTAGCTATTGATCTTGAAATGCTGAAAAAACTCCCGGTTAAGCAATCGCCTCTTCAATCGTCCAACACTAAGGCCGCAGCGTATGTTATTTTCACATCGGGCTCTACAGGAAAGCCCAAAGGATGCATAAGTATGTAACACTATTCCTATTTAACTTATTTGAGTGAAGCCCATTCAATATTTCCAATGTCAATACAATGCCTTCTTTTGGTAGGTAATATGGACTAATTCAAAATCAGTTGAACATCGTGCCTTCTGTTCCGGAGTAAGCAAGCACGCTCCGGCTCTGCTTATCAGGCCAAAATCTCGGGTCTTGCAGTTTGCATCCTACACATTCGATGCCAGTTTGATTGAGATCTTAGGAACACTGATCATGGGCGGCTGCATCTGTGTCCCAGATGACGCATCTCGTCTAAATGCAATCGCAGATTTCATCAACGACATGCGTGTTGACACTGCTCTCCTGACACCATCCATGGCACAGATGATTCAACCCTCAGAAGTACCTTGTCTACGTACTCTGGTCCTTGTTGGCGAGGCTATGTCGTTAAGCCATATCTCTGTCTGGGCCCAGAAAATTGACCTTGTCAACGCGTACGGACCGAGCGAGTGTTCAGTTGTAGCAGCAGCTAAGGCTCACATGACAATGGACACGAGTCCAGTGAATATTGGAACTGCGATTGACACTGCGTGGATCGTGGATCCAGACAACCACAACCGACTGGTCCCCATCGGTGCTATTGGGGAGCTTTTGATAGAAGGGCCAACTGTGGGGAGAGGCTACCTTAACAATGAACAAAAGACGTTTGAGTCTTTCATCGAGAGACCCAAATGGACCATCAACTGTCCATATCCCCAGTCCGGACAGGAAAGAAGAATGTACAAAACAGGAGATTTGGTCAAGTATGCTCCAGGAGACTCTGGGGAGATACTATACGTTGGCCGCAAAGATAGCCAAGCGAAGCTTCATGGGCAGCGACTTGAGCTTGAAGAAGTTGAGCATTATCTCAATGCGGACACTGAAGTCATCCACGCTCTCGTTACTATGCCAAAGTCTGGTAACTGTGCGAAGAAGCTAGTGGCGGTCCTGTCGCTTCGTGATTTGCCCATTCCGAATGCCAATGCTCATGATCTCGAGATTGTCATCTCGAAAGATGCAGGGAAGCTTCTTTTGCGAATACAAGAGAGGCTCAGGGTACAACTTCCCGCTTATATGATACCCTCGAACTGGGTAGTTCTGAGGCAGTTTCCTCTGTTACCGTCTGGAAAATTAAACCGAAAACAGATAGAACACTTTGTTGACACTATGGATGATGACATCTATCAAAAGATAACGGCCGTTCAACAGGACGCTAACAACAACAATGTTCTGGTGATTACAGACACCGAAGCTCGTCTTCGAACCATTTGGGCATCTGTGCTGAACCTTCCTCTTGAGAGCATTGGCCTAGATCGCTCCTTCCTCCATCTGGTAAGTTGACCAAGATTCCCCCAAGAACTAGAATTAGACGGTTGTTAATATTTGAATCAGGGTGGTGATAGCATGTCAGCTATGGCTGTGATGTCGAAGTGTCGATCAGAAAATCTCGGTGTCACCGTCGAGAATATCATCACGAGCAAGTCAATCCGTCATCTTGCTTCGCTCGTGACACTTCCTCAGGAGGTATTGAACGAGGCGGAAGACGACCGGGAATTTGATCTTTCGCCCATCCAACAGTTTTACTTCCGATGTATGCAAGGAAACGGGACACATTTCAACCAAAGCATGTTGCTCAATCTCGCAAGGCCGATAGCTACGGAGGCTGTGCAGAGCTCTGTCTCTGAGTTGGTTAAAACTCATTCCATGCTTCGTGCCCGCTTCTCTCGAGACGGGAACGGTGTCTGGAAACAACGCATTACAAGCGATATTGAGAAGTCCTATCTTCTACGCGTTTACAAAGACCATGAAGCTCAAGACATGGAGAGGACGATTGAAGATCTTCAGCGAAGTCTTGACATTGTCGACGGTCCCATGCTTGCCATCGGATTGTTTGAAGGCTCTTCAGGGAATCCCCAGCTTTTCATCGGCGTACATCACCTCGTTGTGGACGTCGTTTCTTGGGGGATAATCTTGCAGGATTTGGAAGATCTCCTCCAACGCAAGACCACCAGACTTCGAACTGGAACGTCCTTCCAGAAATGGTGCCGTCTTCAATCAGATAACGTCAAGCGCAATTATAAGTCGATAAAAGCGCTTCCTATTGATGACGTACCATTAGCTGATTTAGGATATTGGGGCATGGAAGGCAGCACGAATCATTACGGAGATGTCGTGATAGAGGAGATTGAGTTTGAATCGTCCATAAGCGGCGAGCTTCTGGCTCTCTGTCGTGGGCCTCTCCAAATTGAATTCGTCGACATCTTGCTTGCTACTCTCCTCATGTCATTCTGTCGTGCATTCCCCGACCGCTCGATTCCACCGGCAATCTACAATGAAGGACACGGCCGTGAGCCTTGGGATTCAGCGATCGACATTTCACGTACTGTCGGTTGGTTTACGACCATGACTCCAGTGCATCTCCCTGAGGATCACAGTGTTCATGAAGGTAAGATACAATATTCCATACTCTCCATATAACTTTCCCGGTATTGTGCACTAACAGTTCTTCCAACAGATTGGAATTTGCTCAAGTGCATCGCCTGGGTTAAGGATCTTCGCAAAAGAACTCCTGGCAAGGGACTGCCATACTTCGCATACCGTCTGCTAACCTGGGAGGGACATGAGAAATTTGGCCGGCACTGGCCAATGGAGATTGCTTTCAATTACCTGGGCCAACACCAGGGTTCGGAGCTGACAGGAAAGTTGCTGCAACCAGTTAACGGGACCGGGTTATCTGTCAACTCCCGTTCTGATATCGGCCCTAGTGTTCCTCGGTTTGCGCTTGTCGAGATTTCAGCGGCAGTCATTCATGGCAGCCTCAATTTGTCTTTCTCTTACAACAGATCCATGAAAAGGCAAACCGACATACAGAAATGGGCTGTCGACTGTCGAGATCTGCTGTGCGAGGCAATCGTCAATCTGAAAGGACATGAACTCCAGCGAAGTTTGAGTGATTTTCCTCTTTTGCCACTGTCGTACAATGGCTTGGATAAGCTTAAGGAGAATTTACTCAAAGTTGGCATCTCATCTTTGGATGAAGTTGAGGACGTCTATCCTTGCTCTCCAATGCAGGAAGGAATATTGCTCAGTCAGCTTAAAGACCCCGAAACATACAGCTATCGATCAGTTTTCGAAGTTCGATCACCGGAAAAGAACCATTCTATTGATCTGCGACGGCTAGCGGAAGCTTGGCAAAAAGTTATACGGCGGCATCAATCCCTAAGAACTGTTTTCATCAATAGCATTCACGAGTCTTCGTTGATGGACCAAGTCGTGTTCAAGTCAGTTAGAGGACGGACGCTCTTTTATGAATGCGAAGACCGGGATGTTCGGAAAACCCTATCAGAAATTGAAGCACCGAACTATCGCAATGGACAACCACCTCATCGCCTCGTTCTTTGCAAGACCAAGTCGGAGAAGGTGTTTTGCAGACTCGACATTACCAATGCCATCTCTGACGGTTCTTCCATTCCCATTCTCTTACGAGATCTCTCGCGCGCTTACATGGATATGACACCGGACGACTCGGAAAGTCCTCTCTATAGTGACTTCATTGCGCATCTACAGTCCGTTCCAAAAGAAAAGGGGGCACTATATTGGAAGGAGTACCTTGAGGGAACTGAGCCTTGTCAATTTCCATCTTTGTCGGATGCACGGCAGAGTGAGAAGAGGCTGGGATCTCATATCCTAGTTCTCAAGCAAATGTCAGAGATCCAGAACTTCTGCAAACAAGCTGGAGTGACGATTTCAAATCTCCTGCAGCTTGTTTGGGGCTTAATCCTACGATGCTATACAGGATCTGACGAGATCTGCTTTGGATACCCCTCCTCGGGACGTGATGTTCCTGTCAAAGGCATCCAAGATGCCGTTGGAGCATTCATCAATATGCTGACGTTTAGGATTGATCTGAAGGATAATCTCCTGCTGGAAGAAGCGCTGAAGAGAACGCAACAGGACTTTGTCCGGAGCATGGAGCACCAATCAGTCTCACTAGCTGAGATACAGCACGAACTTGGTCTCTCGGAGACATCCTTGTTCAATACAGTTTTTACATTTCAAAGACGGCGCGGCATTGAAGAGGATTCTATTCCTGCCCTGTCATTTGAGGCATTCGATTCTCATGATCCGAGCGAGTATAAGATCGCTATCAATGTTGAAATGTCGGATCTATCCACAGAAGTCCACTTCAGCTACTGGATGGACTACCTGTCCAAAGAGCAGGTTGAATACGTTGCCGATGCGTTTGAGCATGTTTTGTATGGATTGGTCCAGAGCAGACGACCTGGTTTGAGAATCAAGGACATTGACTTCTTCGGGCCCCTCAGCTGCCTCAAAGTGCGCCAGTGGAATCGCATGGGGACGAACCGGGTCGAGAGATGCATTCACGAAATGATAGAGGAACAAGCTCTGCGTCGACCATTATCTTCAGCTGTCCAAGGTTGGATGCAAGCTTTACTTACAATGAACTTGATACGCTATCCACTCGGCTTGCTAGTCGTCTTAGAGAACACGGAGTTGGCCCCGAAGTGTATGTTCCTCTGTGCTTCGAGAAGTCTGCATGGGCTATTGTTGCTCAACTCGCAGTGATGAAAGCGGGAGGGGCGTTTGTTTCTCTGGACCCCTCGCACCCGGCGGATAGATTGCGGAATCTGATAGAGGATGTCGGGGCTCATATTGTGTTGAGCTCAGCGCAGCAATATGGCAAGGTCTCACAAATTTCCAAAGCGGTGATAATTGTCGACAGCAACACAGTGCATCAATTGCCCCAGCATCCTGTGACTTTGTCAGCATCTGCGAAGCCTTCCAACGCCGCGTATATCATTTTCACCTCCGGCTCAACGGGCAGGCCCAAAGGAACTGTCATCGAACATGCTTCATTTTGCACAAGTGCTCTCGCGCACGGAAAAGCATTTCACATTGATTCAAATACCAGAACCTTTCAATTTGCGTCTTACACTTTTGATGCTAGCATTATGGAGATTCTTACTGCCCTTATTCTGGGTGGCTGCGTCTGCGTGCCGAGTGATGAGGAGCGCATGAATGACATACCAGGAGCGCTTACGAGGATGAATGCCACTTGGTTGTTTTTGACGCCTTCTGTCGCGAATACGATAAAGCCGGAACAGGTGCCTACCCTGAAGGTTTTGGTTTTGGGAGGTGAAAAACTGTCACAGAGTAATATCGAAAGATGGAGATCCAAGTGTCTCATCGACGGCTACGGCCCAACTGAGTGCTCTGCGATCTGCGCTGGAAGCACTAAGGTCGACTTGAACGGAGAAATTCTTGATACGGATCCTTCAACGATTGGAAGAGCTCTTGGCGGTCGATCCTGGATTGTAGATCCTAGGGGAGCCAATCGTCTTGTACCAGTTGGTGCTATTGGAGAGCTGGTCATCGAGGGACCTACCGTGGCGCGTGGATATCTCAATAACGAAAAGAAGACAAGTGAAGTCTTCATTCATGACCCAGAGTGGACGAAGCATGACAGCTTGCGAGGTGCTGTCAAACAAGGAGAGCGCATGTACCGGACTGGAGATTTCGTCCGTTACAATCCAGATGGCACACTTAGCTACCTGGGCCGGATGGATATGCAAATAAAGCTCAACGGCCAGCGAATCGAACTGGGAGAGATCGAATATCAATGTGGACAGTATTTCCCGGAGCATACACAATTGGCGGTAGACCTTGTTGCTGCCGGAGCGACATCTTCTGCTAAGAAGCTGGTTATATTCTTTACGACCCAGATCAACAACGACACGCAAGGCAGCACTGGCCATTCAGCAGACCGCGAACAATTGTTACTGCCAATGAGCGTTACACTCCAGGATATGGTGAGGAAATTGGAGAAGTCACTTTCCGGGGTTTTGCCATCGTATATGATACCCCAGCTGTTCTTCCCTGTTTCCAGGCTGCCATTCACCACTTCTGGAAAGTTGGACCGCCGGAAGCTACATGGAGAGGTCCAGGGGTTGTCTAGAGAAGCTCTGAAGCCGTACTCTTTGTCCAATTCAGTCAAGCGAGAAACACCGAGAGACGAAATGGAAATGACGCTTCAGAGTCTATGGGAGGCCGTCCTAAATGTTCCCAGCAGTTCGATCGGTATTGACGACAGTTTTTTCAGGCTTGGGGGCGATTCACTAGGTGCCATGAAGCTTGTGGGACTGGCACGCTCTCGTGGAATTTCCATCAGCGCAGTGGACATTTTTCGCTATCCTCTTCTCAAAGATATGGCTGGGAGATGTGAGTCGTTGGAGGAAAGAGGCCAGTCTCAACTGAAGCAATTCGGCTTGTTAAAAGTAGACCAGCCAATAGGCCAGATCATCGACGAGGTTGCGGCTCAGTGCGGCGTTGACAAGCGGATGATTTTCGATATCTATCCCTGCAGTCCTCTACAAGAAGGGCTCATCACTCTTTCGATCAAGCAGCCTGGAGCATACGTTTCTCAAAATGTGCTCCGACTTTCTGATCGAGTGGACATCACGAAGTTCAAAGCAGCTTGGCAACAGCTCGTCGATGAATTCGACATTCTGCGGACTCGCATTGTGCACAATGCCTCTGCTAACTTCGTTCAGGTAGTCTTCAAAGAGCAGGCTATTACTTGGCACACCGCAGAAAGTCTGGAGGAGATTGCAGAAGAGACAACCAAATTACCGGAGCGTGAGGGTGGCTTGCTAACCCGGTACACAATCGTTCAAAAAAAGGGTTCAACTGAATGCTATTTCGCTTGGTCAATACACCATGCGCTATACGATGGATGGGGTCTATCGATCATTCTCAAAAGAGTCGAAGATATATACTTCGAGAGATCTTCAGGCAGGCCCAACACTTCCTATGCAACTTTTATCGACTATCTTCAGCGGCGAGATGTTTCCGCGTCGGACATGTTTTGGACATCATATCTGTCTGCGATTTCACCCGTGACTTTCCCACGGGAAATGTCACGCACGTCGGATGGTCAAGATCCTGACACGAAGACGCTCTGCGGCACCACGGAGATATCTCAGGGGGTATCCGGCCTTAATCTGACGACTCCAACGTTGATCCGAGCAGCCTGGGCCCTTGTACTGGCAAACCGTACCCAGTCTAACGATGTCTGCTTTGGTGAAACACTCACCGGTAGGAATGTTGATGTACCGGGTATCACTGATATAGCGGGCCCGGTCTTGACGACTGTTCCAACTCGGATCCAAGTTAACCCTCAAGCAAAGATAACCGAATACCTGGCAGAGGTCCAGCGAATTTCGACCGAGATGATAATTCACCAGCATTCGGGATTACAGCACATAAGGAGACTCAGTGAAGACGCCTCCCTTGCATGCGACTTCAAGAACTTGTTGATCGTGCAGACGGCGGAAGATGGCGCGGACGACGAACTCTGGCAAGTTCAAAATGACGGGAAAATGAAAAACTTCTTCACGTATCCGCTTGTTGTGGAATGCAAAGTTTCCGATCGCCGAATTGAAAACCACATCCACTATGATGAGGGAGTGATTTCTGGCTGGCAGGTCCAAGGGCTGCTTCAACAGTTCTCTTATGTGCTGCGACAACTTAGCACCGTCACCGACTCTGACTGTCGACAGCTGGACAAGGTGGATATGGTCAGTCCAGAGGACAGAGAACAAATCTCTCGGTGGAATAGACGAACGCCACAATGCATTGATCAATGCATCCACGAGATATTCCAGGAGAGGTGCCTGTCCCAGCCTATAGCTCCAGCAGTCTGTGCTTGGGACGGAGATCTCACCTATAGCGAGTTGCACGAATATGCCTCTAGGCTTGCAGCGCATCTGAACTCTCTCGGAGTTAGTCCAGAGGTATTTGTCCCTCTGTGCCTCGATAAGTCGGCCTGGACAATTGTCGCGATGCTGGGTGTTTTGATCGCTGGGGGAGCTATTGTTCCGCTTGACCCTAGCCATCCATTGTCACGCCATCAGGAGATTCTAAAAGAGCTTGATGCCAATATCATTCTCTACTCACCAAACTACAGCCAGCGCTATTCCGGTATTGTCAAAAAGGCCGTGCAGATTGACAGACATATGATTAAGAACCTGCAATCCATAAGCAGGCGTTGCCATCATACAACTTCTGCAACAAGTTCCAATGCAGCATACGCTATCTTCACCTCGGGGAGCACCGGTCGAGCGAAGGGAATCACTGTCGAGCATCGGGCGTTCGTTAGTAGCTCTATGGCCTTTGGACCCGTGATGCAGATGAAATCAACGTCTCGGGTCCTTCAATTTGCTTCTCTCAGTTTCGATGCCGCCCTCATGGAAATCTTCACCACCTTGACGAGTGGAGGCTGTGTGTGCGTACCTAGCGAGGAAGAACGGCTCAGAGACATTTCGGGGGCCATTTGTCGAATGAACGTCTCGTGGACTCTATTGACACCTTCAGTCGCCAACCTCATTGATCCCTCTACGGTACCTTGTCTGAAAGTCCTTGTGTGTGGTGGGGAGGCTATGTCTCCTGAAGTCATCGCGAGATGGGCAGGCAACGTCGAATTAATCAATGCCTATGGTCCGTCTGAGGCGTCCGTTATTGCGACCCTCAATACGAATGTCTCGAGCGAGAATCCATCATGTATCGGTTACGGCATATCTCCTACTCTTACCTGGGTTGTCGATCCCGAAGATCATGATCAGCTCTGTCCTTTGGGCACCATTGGTGAACTGGCCATAGAAGGGCCAACTCTGGCACGAGGTTATCTCAACGATGAGCTCAAGACCGCTGCGGCATTTGTTGATAACCCTGCCTGGACAGCGACTTTCCCATCCCCTGCTTCAGCACCGCGCAGAATCCACAAGACTGGAGATTTAGTCAAGTATAATCCGGACGGTTCCCTGGAATATGTTGGACGCAAAGACAACCAAGTCAAACTCCACGGTCAGCGCATGGATCTGGGAGAGATTGAGCACCGTCTAGAGACAGATCCTCGAGTCCGCCATGTCATTGTCTTGATGCCTAAGACTGGTTTCTTCCAGGAGCGACTAATCTCAGTGTTGTCCCTAAATAGCTTGTCTGCGGAGTATGCCGTTCTCTCTGCTGGAACGTGTCAGTTGGTCGACAAGGAAGATCGAGTTGATTCTGAGTTGGCAGAGATCCGAAACCGTCTTTCAGCACAGCTGCCGTCCTATATGCTTCCTCGAGCCTGGGCGGTCGTTAAGGATCTTCCAATGCTGGTATCCGGCAAGCTTGACAGAAAGAAGGTCCAAGGTTGGGTTGAAAACATTCCCGAGGAAACGTATCAGCAGATAGTAGGCAGAGTCGGAAACCAGGAATCTACCGCAGAAGCCACTGGTGTGGCATCGGTGCTGCAGGAGATATGGGCTCAGGTTCTCAACATTCCGCTGGAAAAGGTCAAGTTGAATCAGTCGTTCCTGAGTTTAGGTGAGTTTTCCAAAACTTCAAAACAGTCACTGGTACTGACACCTATTCAGGAGGCGACAGTATAACTGCTATGGCTGTTGTGTCCCGAAGCCGTCGACAGAAGATAAATCTGTCCCTTCACGATGTCCTGCGATGCGAATCTATTATCCAGCTAGCACTCACAGTTGGATCTGGTATTGTGTCTGTTCAGCACGAAGAGAAAGTGGATGAGCCTTTCGGCCTTTCCCCTATCCAGCAATTGTATTTCCAAGCCGCGAAGGGATACCAGGGACGCAGTCGTTTCAACCAGAGCTTTACCCTCAGTTTGTCTCGATATATCAAAGCAGAAACTCTCGAAGCTGCGATCGCAGAAGTGGTTAATCAGCATTCAATGCTCAGGGCGCGATTTCGTATGAATAAAGATGGAAACTGGGAGCAGCGTTTCACAAGCGTGCGTATCTAAGAAATAGAGACAATTCGAGCCTCTCTTTACATGCAACGGCTAACACCTTCATTTTCAGGACGTCAATTCTTCCTACCGCTACCAAGTTCACCACGTGGATAGCACTCGTGATATCCCTCCCCTAATAGGCAAAAGCCAACAAAGTCTAGACATTCAGAACGGACCGATATTTGCGGCAGATCTTTTCGAAACACGAAGCAAAAAGCAGATATTGTTCTTTGTCGCCCATCATCTTTGCATCGACATGGTATCTTGGCGTATCATCATCCAGGATCTGCAGGATATTCTCGAGTCTGGCTCACTCTCAGGCGACAAACCACTGTCCTTCCAGACTTGGTGTGCTTTGCAAGCGGAGCACATCAAACGTGACTCTGATGGAGGCAAGCTCCCGTTCCAAGTTATCCCTGCCAATCTTGGTTACTGGGGAATGGAAAATGAACCAAATTCATATGGCGACGTCGAGCACCAGACATTCGCGTTAGATGAAGGACTGACGACATCCACTATGACCCATTGCCACGACGCCCTCCGGACGGAACCTGTAGACCTTCTGCTCTCGGCAATAATTCATTCCTTCCGTCGAACTTTCAGCGATCGATATCTACCGACGTTATTTAATGAGGGTCATGGACGCGAGCCTTGGCAATCCGACATTGACCCCTCTAGGACGGTGGGCTGGTTTACCAACATATCTCCTTTGCAAGTGAAAATAGAATCAGGTGAGTGTGTCTCTACAGAGGTTCTGCAGTCTTAAGAATTTTCATGCTAATTTCTCTCTGCTGCAGATGATGTTCTGGACACCGTCCGGCGGGTTAAAGACGTCAGACGAAGTATTCCTGACGGCGGGCGACGTTATCTCGCACATCGCTACCTGGCGCCAAATGGACGGTCACACTTTTCAGGTTCCGATGTACCTATGGAGATATTGTTCAATTACCTCGGAGCTATGCAGCAGCTCGAACGCGACGACGCGTTATTTCAGAATGCGGACTTGATAACAGACGGTGCTGATTCCCTAACTGTGGGAGACATGGGTCCTGATACTGCCCGACTTGCTCTGTTTGAAGTCAGCGCCATCGTGATTCAAGGCAAGCTTCAGTTCTCCTTTATGTACAACCGTCGCATGCAGCGCCTGAATGACATCCGTCGCTGGGTTTCAGAGTGCAAGTGGACTCTTGAAGAGATCGTGATAAGCCTACGGCGTTGTGCTCCGGAACCAACTCTCAGCGATTATCCTTTGTTGCCGATCAGGTACGAAGGATTAAAGAGGCTGATCAGGGAAACTTTCCCCGAAGCTGGGATCACGCATCGGGATCAGATCGAGGATATTTATCCTGTCACTCCCACGCAGGAGGGAATCTTACTAAATCAGCTTCGGGATCCGACAAACTATTTCTGCAACGCCATCTTCGAAGTGCAGACTGCCGATTCCAATGTTGGCGTCAGTCCGCAGCGGCTCATTGAAGCATGGCAAAAGGTAGTCGATCGTCATGCTGCGCTAAGAACGACGTTTGTAAACAGTGTTTACCAAGGCGGCACCTTTGATCAACTCGTTCTGAAGAAGGCAGACAGCGGTATTATCCGCGTGGAGTGCGATGACACTGAGGCCCTCGCCAAACTGAATTCGATAAAGCTCCATGAGAACAATGCCAAAAGGACGCAGCCACTGCCGCACCAGTTCACGATTTGCACCACGTCCACCGGACGACTTCTAATCAAGATTGAAATGAATCATGCAGTCATAGATGGTGGATCTCCTCCTATCTTGCTGCGGGACCTCGCACTTGCCTACGACAGGCGGCTCCCAGAGGGCCGTGGCCCACTTTTTAGCAATTACGTGCGATTCATTAGAAGTCAATCTCCAAGAGCAGATATCGCATTCTGGAAACGATATTTGACAGGCGTCCGCTCGTGTCATCTGCCCAATCTCAATGCGAACCCCACCGATGAACGCCGTTTGGTCCCTGTGAAGATGGCGTTCGATGAGTGGTCGGACTTGCAGCAGTATTGTGAAAGAACAGGCGTCACCCTGGCAAATGTTGTCCAAGCTGGATGGGCCTTGGTCCTACGAAAGTACACAGACTCCGATGATGTGTGCTTTGGATACCTCTCTGCAGGACGTGATGCTCCTGTCAATGGGATTCAGGATACCATCGGAGTGTTCATCAACATGTTATGCTGCCGCGTCAAATTCTCCCCTTCCCAATTGCTTGCCGAAATTCCAAGCAAAGTTCAGGAAGATTATCTGAGCGGCATTCCTCACCAGCGATGCTCTCTGGCTCAGGTTCAACACGAGCTTGGATTGCATGGTAAACAGTTGTTCAACACCGTACTTTCGATCCAAAATCACTCTCGTGCCAGTGATGATGAAAGTGAATCATTAAATTTCGAACTACAAAACGCTCATGATCCGAGTGAGGTAAGTAATCGGCGTTCGTCTTTCTTGGTGTCTCTCAGCTAACCATTTCGTCCGTGTAGTTTTCTGTAACCCTCAATATCGAAACTGGTCGAAATGATGAAGCAGTCGTGTTCCGATACTGGACGGACATGTTTTCTGAGGACCAGGTGTCTTCTCTCGCTGATGCTCTGGCAAGAGTCTTGAGAGCATTCCTGCAAGACCCGACAGAGACAGTGTCCCGCCTGGATTTGCAGAAATCTGAAACGAGCAATCATGTCAAGAAACAGGACCAGGAATCATCAAATAATGATGTGACTAAGCATGAACACGACGAGGTCCACCGGCTTCTGGACAAGCATCCGGCTCTGCAAAGCCTTATCGATGAGAGAGTTCAGACTATCATCAAGCAGATGTTCAAGACATCTGAATTACTGTCCAGCAGCAGCAAACCGACCCCAGATATCCTTGGCCGTAATCTGACCGGAGAAATACAAGGCCAAAGTTCTGAATCGGAAGCCTGTTCAAATGCTTCTGAATATCTATTCAAAAAACGAGTCGAGGATGGTCCTGCCGCCCCGCGAATTGAGCGACGTGGACGACGCGATACTGTCGAGCAAAAGCTATTGCGGCTCTGGAGTGAAAGGCTAGACATGTCTCCTGAAAGCATCAACAGGAAAGATAGTTTCTTTGAGTTAGGTGGAGATAGTATTACAGCTATGAGTCTGGTCGGAGATGCGCGCGACGAAGGCTTGATCTTGACCGTGGCTGACGTGTTCCGAAATCCCGTGTTCGAGGACATGGCTGCCATTGCCCAGATTGCTACCAGATTGAGTGGCTATTCCATCGACGCCGATATTAATGGACTCGGCGGGCAGCCGCTGTCCACTCATGCCGTGGCTGACGGTGACCTCTATGAGAGGTTCGCTCTACTGAAGGCTGCTAATATCGATGACGCGTTTCTTCAGAAGTACATCTGCCCTCGAATTGGCGTGTTCAAGGGGGGTATTGCTGATGTGCTGCCCGTCACCGACTTCCAGGCATTGTCGATTACTGGAGCCCTCTTGGATTCGCGGTGGATGCTGAATTATTTCTGCCTTGATGGAAGCGGTCATCTGGACTTGCGACGTCTCAAACAGTGCTGCTTCCGCGTCGTTCATGCGTTTGACATCCTGCGCACGGTATTCGTGTCTTCGAAGGGCCGTTTTCTCCAAGTGATTCTTCGGAAGATCCGGCCGGAATTTCTTGTTTACGAGACTGATGGTCTCAATGAATTTACGGCTATGTTGCAGCAGCGAGATCGAGAACAAGGTCCCCGGCAGGGCGAGCCATTCGTGCAATTCATTGTCGTCAAAGAGAAAAGCACAGACTGTCACCGCATATTGATCCGCCTGTCGCACGCGCAGTATGACGGGGTGTCTCTACCAAAGATCTTGTCAGCCATCAAAGTTGGCTACGAAGGCGGGCCAATTCCCTCGACTCCATCCTTTGCAAACTACGTGCGGGCATCTGCAAGAATGGTGACTTCGGAGCACTATCAGCACTGGAAAACGCTTCTGCAAGGATCCCGCATGACGGAGATTGTTTCTCGACAGGGCCCCAATTACCGCAAGTCGACGGGAGCGACTCCTAAAGTACTGAAAAAGACCGCGCGGGTGCCGTCGATGGCGTATGGAAACATCACCACTGCAACTGTCATCAAAGCAGCCTGGGCCCTGACCCTGGCCAGAATTACGGCCAGTTCGGATGTTGTTTTCGGTCACACGATCAGCGGCAGAAACACTGCCGGAATTCCAGGGGTTGAGACGATGGTCGGACCGTGTGTGAATATCGTGCCTGTCCGGGTGAGGTTTGAGGAGAACTGGACTGCTCTGGATCTCCTTCGCTTCATACAAGATCAACAGGTTGCCAACATGCCGTACGAAGCGCTTGGGTTCCGGCAGATCATCAAGCACTGCACTGACTGGCCCAACTGGACCACTTTCAGCACAATCGTCCAGCATGATAGTTCTTACCGGCAGAATGACATGCACCTCGGTGAGAATAAGTACTCGATTAGAGGTGTCGGTAGCGATGAGGACGTGGCAGATTTCTCGATCGTCTCACATGTGTCAGAGAAGGACAGGGTTGACATCACAATTTCCTTCTCGCTCGACGGCGCTGTCACGGAGGCGTTGGCCCAGAGGGTGCTGGACATTGTTTGCGAGACTGCGGAAGGGTTTACTGCGAACTCAAGCATGGTCCTTCCAACCCCTGCCGCGCTGTCGTCATTGCCAACACAGACCATCGCTGGGCCAGAGAGGAAATCAGAAGACGAGACGTTCACATCTTCGCAGCTGAAGGGACTCAGCCGAGCCGAGATCCTCGTCCTGTCAGACGTTCTGAGTCGCACATGGCAGCAGGTCCTGACGAACAAGGACGAGAACAGGCCCCCTGCCAAGCTCAACTCATCCTTCTTCGAGCTTGGAGGAGACATTGTCGGCCTGGCACAGGTTGCCTGGCTCCTGGAGCAGGAAGACTTCAAGGTGCGACTGGACGATCTGATCGAGCACCCGACCATGCTGGGACAGATGGCTGTACTGGTGCAGTCGAATTCGAGCGTGGCGAAGAAGATGATGGCTTCGTCTCAAGCAGACGGTGCGGGAAATTCCCTGGGAGGGAGAAGCGGATCCAGCGCTTCGCTGCGACGCAAGGCCCGCAAGCCGGGCTCGTGGGCGTCAGCGCTGAGCCTGGCACGGAGGATGGTTCGACGGGAGGGGAGGAACAATTAAGATGCATGTAAAGAAAACAAATTGTATTATGTTGACGTTGGATGGTAGATTGTTGTATGCGTTGGATTAGGGACATTCTTTTTGTCTAATTTTTTAGGTATCATGACATGTTAAAGACTGTATCTACTGCAAATCGCAACATTATCACCTGTACTCTACAAAAGTTTTCCTCCTTAGGTTAAATGCATGTTTTATTTGTCAGACCACCGAAATCTAGGCGACATACCTTCGTTTCCGATTTTTTACCAAAATCCAGGCATTATAGATAAATGCCTTTTGCACTACACTGGCTATATTTACAATGTTGGATTCTATTCTGTTCATGTTTGGTTATGGCAATTTTGATATCTCGACGTCGATCTATTGCTTTTTGTTTTTTTTTTTTGGTTTGATCTCATTTAATGCCATATCATATCATATAATTTTATTTCGGGCTGTTAGATCGATTGTTAGGTAGAACAAAAACCTTAGTTAATTCTGTTCTGTTTCTTAGTCACTTGGGAAATATATTTTCGCGTCATACTCTGCATGGTATAAATAATGAGATTGCATTCAATATAAGATTTATGTTTTTATTGATTTTTATCATCCTTGTCGCTTTTTTTTTGTCTGGGAACAGTGCTGCATTAACAAACATCCGTCTTATATGCTGTGCTTATTTATTGGTGCATTCTTTGTTGCATGTCTGCATGGGCCTCTAAGCACAGACAGCGTCCTGTCAAGCAACATCCACGCGACGCGGGGAAACCACGAGGACCAAGTCCCGACAGCCCACGCGCTGTGTCAACTTGTCAACCATGCGCCAGGACAAAAACCTGCACTGATCATTGCAACGTTGCATTTTGTTTTCTTGTCTGCATGGAGAAAAGCTTAATTGCAAAGGACCCGGACAACCCTAAGAAATGGAGGGAGCGTCCACCTGCTGTTAAGGGTATAGTACAGAGCAGCGCACAAGATCCTTCCACCTGTTGTACTGTACTAACCAGTGCTTTTGCTTATTCCCGTGCAGCTATCTAAGCTATGTATGGGATCTGTCACTGCTGATCGACTCTTGCCTGCCTGTCTGTGCTCAATGACCATGGCAGCTCATCCAATCGCTGAACTTGGATTAGCGATCACGCCAACGACATACTTGAGAGATGCAATTTCCGGAGATTTATTAAGTTAAAATCGTGGTTTAAAATGACCAGGTGATCGGTATTCTCCGAAAAGGACCGTCTTTGACTGGTGTAGACGGGGTTTGATGCTGCAGCAACCTCGGCATCTCGAGTTCTGTACGTGCACACGTACTGTATGTATGTATACAGTACAGGACATGTCTGTCCACATCTATGGCCTTCTCCCGCGTCGCGTGCCAATTGAATCCAGCTGCTGATGTACTTTTTCCGTATCGTATTGATAGCAAATTAACTGCCAGATGCTCCGCCCGCGGAACATCTCGGCGGATTCTTGGCAAAAGGCTTGGAGGGCGTGGGCCTCGTGTCGACTGTCCCAGTCCGGAAATCCCCGCATCAGGGCTCGGCCAACATCCGAAGAGAAGTCAGCCAAAAGATGTCTGAAGCTTAAGTCTTTAAGCTCTCTCCAGGATCGTGCAGCTCCGCATTCATGGCCGCGGGGCCCCGCTTCTTCCCCGTACATGCATGTATCTGCCGATTCTCGGAGATTTTATGCAGTCCCGATTCTGGGCAATGACAATTCGGACGGGAAATGAAATGAAATGCACACGGAAACTCGAACAACGGATTATTATCCTGTCTCGGCTTTCCTCCACTATGCGATGCGAGGAGATCTGGCCGATTCTATACTACAAGCGCGCGCACGTCGTATACATGTAAGCCAAAGCAAATGGAACACATACACCTAGGCAGAATCGACTGCTACCGGAGGTAAAGAAGTGTCGTTCTGCAGTTTCCCGCCAGACTCATTCATGTAGAGAAACCAGCCTTGTTTGGCCTGCTGTTTCCGGTGTTTCGATTGTATTCTGGTCCAGATGTTTTATTCTTTGTCATGGGACAAGATTGCCCCGGCAGCCGACTCCAACAGAAGCGCGCACTCCACGGTCTGTGCCGCTCGAATTGGCAGGGATGTAAAATATCGTCTACTCCGTCCATTTTCTCACAGTTTAGTAAAACGTCACGTCTGGGCGCTGATTTCGGGCGTCTACATACCGGATTATTTTCGTCGATCGAGCAAACCAGCCAACAGAGATGGATCACTTGTGTTGGTTATGTTGGTGGTCAGCTGTCAGCCATCTTTCCTGGTCCGGCCCGCTCTATCGGCCACTCCGGGGATGGAATGGGCTAGCAGAGCTTCTTCACTAATACAGTACATTGTGAATGAGACCAGCGGCTCGGTGGCTGCATCGATCCACAAGCAAACGTGCAGCTGACCCAAGCTTCCAGTCGAAGCTAAAGCAAGCAGCCCGAGTCTATATAGACTAGGCTTTCTGCCCTCGATGCTTCCAGCTGTGCCTGCCAGACAACAGCCTGTCTCCATAGCACTCTTGTCTGAATTAGAGCCTTGCACCATGGCGGGAGGCGTCAAGAAGCCTGTCAACATCTTCAAGCTCAAAGACCTGAATGACCCCAAGGAGGTCTTCAACTGGCGGCTATGGTTTGCCGTCATATCCTTCGGCCTGATGGGCGCTGCCCGTGGCATCGACGAGGGCTTGATATCTGGCGCATTCAACTCGAAGAACTTCCAAGAGTCGATCCATTTCTCCTCCTACAGCACTGTCGAGAAAGCCAACATCAAGGCCAACGTCTCTGCCATGGTCCAGATTGGATCTGTGGGGGGAGCTCTCTTGTGAGTGTCATATACGAAAGATAAGACAGACAGGAACAGGCAATTGCTAATATTAATGTTTTCTCAGTGCATTCTTCGTCTGCGATCGTATCGGCCGTATCTGGGCAACGCGCCAGCTTTGCCTCCTTTGGATCCTGGGCATTGCCATCTTCCTGGGCAACAATGGCAGCCTGGGCGCCGTCTATGCAGGCCGTTTCATCGCCGGCCTGGGCGTCGGACAGACGCCGGTGGTCTCTCCATTGTATCTGGCTGAAATCTCGCCGCCGTCGATCCGGGGTCTCTGCACATGTATCTTTACGGGCTTTGTCTATCTCGGCATCGTCCTTGCTTACTTTGCCAACTACGGAGCGCAGGTCAACTTGGGTGATACAAGCCCTAAGCGTTGGGTATGCTTCTGCTCCTCTTATCTTGGCTTGGTTCGTGGTTCTCGCTAATAAATTCACAATCCAGCAAGTTCCTACCAGCTTACACATCATGTTCGCCGGCCTCATCTTCATTCTATCCTTCCTGCAGTACGAGTCGCCTCGGTACTACATCAGGCGAGGACAAGATGAGAAGGCGCTGGCGGTCATGGCGCGCGTACGCAACCTGCCCGCCGACCACGAGTACGTCGTTCGCGAAATCACCGAGATCCAACGGTCCTACCAGGAGGAGCTGGAGGCGACCATGGGCGCCGGCTTCTTCGGCATCCTGAAAGAGATGTTCCTTATGCCCAGCAATCTCTACCGACTGTACCTGGCCTCGATGGCCCAGATCCTGTCGCAGTGGTCCGGCGCCGGCTCGATCACTCTGTACGCGCCCGACCTGTTCAACCTCCTGGGCATCACTGGGAACAACCAAAACCTCCTGGTCACGGCCATCTTCGGTCTCATCAAACTCGCTGCCGCGGTGGTCTGCGCGCTCTTCCTTGTCGACGTTATCGGCCGCAAGCGGTCTCTTCTCATCGGAATCGCCCTGCAGGCGATCTCCATGATTTACGTCGCAGGCTTCCTCACGGCTGAGCCGGAGATGGGCGTCGTCAAGGGCTACGAGCTGCCCGAATCTTCCAAAGGGGCCAGCCGCGGGGCGATCGCGATGATCTACATTTCGGGGCTGGGGTGGGCGCTGGGCTGGAACTCAATGCAGTACCTGCTGACGGCGGAGCTGTTCCCGCTGCGGATCCGAGCAGTGGCAACATCGATCTCGATGACGCTGCACTTTGCCAACCAGTACGGCAACTCGCGCGCGGTGCCGAACATGCTGCTGCCCGCCTCGAGCGGCGGGCTCTCGCCGAGGGGCACGTTCTGGTTCTTCGCAGCGGTGACGGTCATCGGCGGGCTCTGGGTCTGGGTCAGCGTGCCCGAGACAGCGGGGCGATCGCTCGAGAGCATGGACCGGCTGTTTGTGCTGCCGTGGTACAAGATCGGTCTGTACGGGAATGAGTACGCGGAGCGACGGGATATGGAGATCAACCAGAAAGTGCTGGCAGCGGAGGGAACGGCGGAGCATGTGGAGGAGGTGAGAGATAGTACGAGGGACAATACGACGAGGGTGTAGACTACACCTTGTCACGGCACATTGCATATACATGTATGATGATGATGCTCATCTTGAGACTAACGACCTAGTACTTGATAGTATGTACATGAGAGAGTATATGAAAGGAATGAGATAGGATTTCCTTTTCTCTGACTCATTTCCATTGACTTTCACTGCGAGAATGAGTTAACACCTACTATAACCAATCAGTTATTCAGCTTCCAACCCTTCAGATCAGGTTAGGTCGGGGCAAGCCCAAAAGGCTCTGCCGAGTTCAAAGCTTAGTTAGGGTTAGGCTAGGTATGTACTGTACATACATTCCTCCATCAAACCTCCAAGTGGAAATGCAGCCATATTTCTTTTCTTTTCCTGGTATTCCGCTGGGAACTTCTGCGGGATTCTTTTTGTCCTGCGGACCACTTAAGTAGTAATAGAAGAACTGCTGGGTGGTGTACGTCGTATTGTTGATTGCCACAGCAAGAGAATCTGTGTAAGATTGAGTCAGCCTTTGGTGAGAAGCAGGGGGAGAAAAAATATTATAATAGTATATAGGACCTGAACGGGGTGGATAGTATTAACTAGAATTTAATACTCGGCCGTTAGGAGATTTTAAAATCTCAATGACTGTCTAGCGCGTACAAGACTTGGAGGATTATTTATGTTACATATTATTGCTAACTAAGTCTACAGACTTAGTAATGGGGTTAACACATGCATTCTCAGTCAAATTAAGCTTTGTATTCTATTCAGAGGACTGCGCTATCGTTCGGTACTTCCACACGCCGCACCCAATGCCAGCCACCAGCAGAATCCCATTGAACATGGAGATGATGTAGAACGGAACCCCCGCTGACAGCACGTCAAAAAGGAGGCCTCCTAGCTTGGTCAGAAGGAGGATCCCCGCGCCCCCGTACAGGGAGTACATCCCCGCGATGGAGCCCTTTAGATGGCGCAAATCATCCGTAGGTGGGTTGCCGGGTTGACCCAAAAGAGGGTCGTGTTCAGCAGACACTTCTCCAGCGCCATCGTACTGGGCGGCTTCTGAAACGGTTCCCGTTCGTTGAACTGCATGACCGACATTCAGCACTCCGTTGCTGAGAACGCCCAAGCTGCAAACAATGGCTCCAATCTGACTCATTCCAATCAGCCCCATGACGACGAATACTCCACCATTGCCGTCAGGCCCTTTGAATTGCGGACTCGGCAGGAGCGGGAAGGTGACATAGCCGACAATTCCCACGAGAGCCGCAAAAAGAAGCGGCACGTTGTATCGTCGCGACCTGTCGGACAGATACCCGAACGCCGGCGCCGCGATCAAAGCGACCAGCTGCGACACTCCCGTGAGGATCGATGCGAGAATGTATGCTTCCGGACAAGACTTCTTGATGTCTCCCAGGCCACGCGCGGACAATCCATTGCGCATCGCGTGACAGAGATCAGAATCTCGATAGTAGCGATTGACGAACAGCGGAATAAAAAGAGAAATCCCCACAGAGGATGCCCGAGCCACGAAGCCCCCAACGTAGCCCAAACTGATGTCGGGATGTTCGAAGCCGAGCGCGAACGCACGAACCAGGTGTTTTCTATATGGAATAGAGGAGATTCTTGAGATCGAATTAATACGATCTTCATACGAGTCCGGTGCCGGAATCTTAGTAGAGGCTCGCCACAGCGACCGCAGTCCCTTTTCTTCCTCTCCAGGGAGATTCCGCAGCCCGACGAAACAGCTGATTGCAACAGCCAGAGCCACAGCAGCGACAACGTAATAGCTTTTCTGGACTGCTTCAGCCGGTGACGAGCCCGACTTTTCAAACCGCGCAGGCAGCGGCAGAAATCCTCCCAGAGCGATTAGAGCGCCGCAGCCTGCAAACAGCCCAACAAAACCAGCCAGTCTGGACGATGAAGCGGTCTTCCCATTCCGTGGAGACTCTTTCTGGCGCGAAAGGCTGCGCTCAAATCGAGCAGGTGTAATTGTCATTTCCGACGACAAGGAAGTCCGCCAGGCTTGTGCCGATCTCCGATGACCCCAATCCGACCCGGGGCGCGTCTCAGAGCCCTCGCCTCCTGTCACAGCAGGCAACACGGCCGTCACCATCGTCGAGACAGCAGACCCTCCCAGGCTGAACAACAGTCGGCCTAGGAGAAGCTGTGGATAGACATTTTTGGCTTGCACGAATAGCACCAGTGCAAGGGCGATAATTGCGTATCCAGCCGTGCAGACCTACGCGAGATAATCATTAGAAAGACGCACGATTAGATTATAGGAAATGCTGAAGTCTCTAGACTCACATAGCGAACGCCGATCCTGTCAGACAGCAGTCCCCACGTGGGACACGCGACTAGCGCCAACAACTCGTCTGCGAACCCCAGTGTTCCGACAGCGTCACCCTCACCATGAGGAAGCCCGATCAGGTCGGTAACAACAAACGAAACGGAGGAATTGAGGAAGACGAGGAAGGCGATCGAGAAGGGGCAGACAGCGAGGAGGTAGGTTGCCGTCTGCAGGCGGGTTGCAGTGAAGAGCGGCGGATGCTGCGGAGCCATCTCTCACATCATAGAGTCTGAATTGTTAAAATATCAGTTATCAGTGTGGAAGCATCTTCCAATTTATGTTTCACAGGTTTGCTGGACTGTCCCTTGCAAACATAGCTCTCGCAAAGAGAACATTGACACAGGATTCTTGGGATTCAAGGGATGCATTTTTGTTATCGATCGCCCTGTCATCCACGCGATCCGGAGTCACATGACCTGCAGTCCGCGGGGTGACACAGCCCCTTGATGCAGCAAACAAAAGACACAATCAATTGAATGTGGCCTTGCATTTAAACGTAGATTGGCAAATCCTGGAATAGTACTCAGAGTAGACTCTGGTATTTACTCGTAATAAACTAGTATCTATTAGGGTTTTTTGACATTATTGGTTTCTAAGTTAGCAATTTTCTTACCGGGTTAAGCATCTTACGAGGTTGTAACTTTATATAGAAATATATTTTATTAATAAGACTTACTTAGACTGGCCACATGGACAGGAAATTCCATGGGATTTCCCTCCCAGTCGACACTTGATCCCTTAAAAAGCAGAAAAGGAAGCGGAGTGCTACTCAAAGTACCAGACGAGCTGTAAAGAAGTTGTTTAAGGGCATACGGTCCACTCCAGAGGAGGATAAGCTGCTGATTGGGCACAATGATCAGTTTTCACAGCGTTTTCCATATTGGAGCAAGGAATCTTTGCACGTCTGCTATAGCACGAAGCTAAAGTGGTCTTCCTAATAATCCTTAAGGGAGAGACAAAGCACTTACCTAGCTTGCAGAAAATGTTCCTAAGTAAGAGCTGTAGCTGTAGTAGGAGTTCTTTCCTTAACCTGGAGCACTCTGCCTCCTCTTCAAATAGACTCAACAGAGAACAGGCCTTGTGCTTTAAGAATGTCTTTCCCCCCCTCTATTATGGCACAATTCCTATTGGTTGATTTGTATAATTTGACCTTCTGACCAGGTTAACAATAAACCACTTGTCCCCCTGCCTCATGGCACCAGCAATAAAATTTTTAATGTTGAACTGGTCTGTATACCATGCCTTTTGTGCAGAGTAGATTCACAATAGCTTCCATCACCTAACTTCTGCAGGTTTCTTTGCAATTCAGTTAGTTGACCTATGATTAGGTGAGGAACTAAAGGTAAGAAAGACTATTTGCATCGTTTCACTTTCTAGAATGGAGATGAATATTAAATCTCTATGAAATCAGACCATTTAAGGCTGTGACTGTGGGCGTGTGTCAACAGTGCTGACCTGGTGTTGCATACTTACAATATGTTAGTGCCTGAGGCATAAGCTACCTAGGTAGGCTGCATAACCTAGCTCCGCTGCCATCAGGACGCAGACGAGTCAACCTATCTCGAACTTTGCATCCTCTTTTACGAGTCAGCAGCATCTTCAATATTCCAACCTCATTTGCTTCGAGTCTTTTCGGTGCTGCTCATGTCGGAATCCTTCTCCGAGAAAATCAAGGGAATAACCGCTGCCGACGTTACTTTCATTAACCTTCTAAAAGAATCAGAATTCTCCTGTGTTTCTCAAGTGGCCGTTCAAGGAAAGACATGTGTTATGAAGATGGTATGGTTTATCCACTCACGGCTCTCTTAACGTTTTCTCAATGATTCTAGTATCATGCAGTAGAAAAGTCTCCCGCCGATCCTCCTGACCGTGAAATCGACAATTTTACCTGTGAAAGCATTGCATATCAGCGATTGAAAGCGAAGGGATTGTGCCAACAAGCAGTCGTCCCGGATTTCTATGGAGTGATAGAACAAATCAACCCAAAGAAATGGCAGCCACACCTCAAAAAGTTTCTCAACGACAAACTGCGACCGAATGCTGTCCTTATCGAGTACATCCCAAACATATGCCAAATAAATTTGTCGACGTTTTCAGAAAGAAGGATAGCCAAACTTCATGCTATTCTGAGGAGCATTCATGCGGCGGGGGTATATCCTGGTGACCCGTACCCCCGCAATATGATAGTTCAGATGGACACAGATCGGGTTTTCTGGATAGACTTTGACCGTGCACAGACATCCTCAGAAGGCTCTATTACGGAAAGACAGCGGCAATGGATTCAAGAAGAGGATGAAATGATGGGCGAATTTGTTGACTTTCTGGTAAGTTTCCTGAGTATTACAACGCTGGATTAACTAACGTTTCTCTAGAAAGCAGACTATCAAGATGGAAAATCGATCGTACCTGGCCCTACTATTACACATATATATGATGGTTCTTCAACTCCGGTGATGGTTTCAACAACTCCGTCAGGTGATTAGATTCGGCATATAGTCGGTATGTATTAGATATTAAACAAAGTCACTGGGCTTTTATCTTGTTTGCAAGCCTCCATCTCATGAGCTAAATATTAATTTTTAGGATATTGTGACTTTAAGCAATCCTGGCAGCACGTTACACAACTATAGCGCATAATATCCAGCAATAGTCTTCAAGGACATAATTTGCTAAGAGGATACTGCAAGACATTACCAAAACTAGAAAGAATCATAGCCTAGCGAAGGTCGGAATATTGGTGCATTGCCAGAAGCAAGATTTTAGCCACCAGCAGCAGGCCATAAGACAAACACAAAATGCTGTAACCGCAAAGCCAGCATTTCTGAAGAGTCGCATGAGAAATCCACTCATAATCTCCGAATGGTGCATCATTTTCTATTTTGGGTTCACGTGCCAGCGTTAGCTTTGGCTAAAGACATGTTTATTGTATCAATAATGGCTCTAACGTCTCCGAGATCGTTAGCCAAGCGTGTTGATATGTTACGAGACAGTATACGAAAACTAATGAAGGGTCTCTAGGTCGATGAATTTTAGCTTTGCAAATATATAATAATATCTTGTAGTTTTACTAATATATTCTACTTAAATAGGTATATTGCTCTATAAAACTACGACTATAGCTTATTTTGGCTTAAACTCTACAATTATTAACTTTACCTTTATAGCTTATCATACTGGCTCCTAACTATTGAGCTAATTTCTATTGAGCTAATTCTGGATTTAATATAAGAAGTTCAATAAGCAATAGGCTCATGGATCTTGAAAATACATGCATGGCGCAGTGGAGCATCCAACCACTTTATCATACGGTCCATGCCTCCAGGTGGGTTCGTCTTGTGCGGGCCGTTCCGCTCCCGACATTGACTCTCTCCATCACCACATCAGCTTGCATCTACGAGGTCAATTGACCGCGTGCTTTTCAACTTGCTATCTCCTATACTATAAGGAAAATGGTTTAGAGTATGGGGTTTTTTTTGGCAAATAAATTACACAGAAACCCAATATAATTGGTCAGATCCGCTTATTCAGCACCCGTCCGTATTTCTTAGGTAAGCATACCACAGCAAAACTGCCTTGGTATAGCCCTAAAGACTTCGCATTGGCTTTACTCCTGTGTATACAGGCTTATATTACAGGCAAAGGTCTGGAAATAATAGGTATGATATACCCCTATTAAAGCCTCCCAAGTAGATTGTGGGGTGTAAGGCATATCTATTGGTGTTAGTAATCTTGTATAATTTTTTATATATATAATTCTTTAGAGCATGCTCTGCAAGACGCCCGAGTATCGAAGGCTTGTGCTGAATACGGGAAAGATGGCATCAAATCTTTCCTCAAAAGTTATACCACTACTCTGGCATATGAGACATTTTTGTCATTGGTGTCATATCGTTTGCAACATATTGCTTTGGGCCTTGTTCTGTTCTTTGGAGACTACTTTGTGTGGCTGGCTGATCATACTCAGCTCCAAGATGCATTTCATGCCGAAGGTTTGTTCTATCATCTCAAATCATAATAGACATGGATGGCACTTGAAATATGCCACGTCACCAGAGGAGAAGGAGAGGTCTGTGCGGACTCTGGAGGGACATAAAGGACAGCAAGAATCCCACGGCGGCGGCACCAGAAAACACAGTCACGACGTCCCCTGAAAATAACACCCTTTACACTGATCTCAATTCATTCATAAAAGTTTAAGCTGGCACATCCTTCTTCTATCTATCAAAATGCCCACCCCTCAGCTCGAAATCCCAGGTGATTGTTACTGGGATCTTGTTTTTCATTACAAAAACCCCGATAATGTCACAGTCGAGCGCACCGAGATCGTCAGATGGTCCCGGAAGGTTTCCAAATCTGCTTTTAAAGAGCAGACAGAGGAGATCGCGTCGAAATTGGCAACTGAACACAAAGCAGGTCTTGAAGCGGGTGGAAGCTACAGTATCGTCAGTGCCTCTGTCAGAGCAGAGACGGGAATCTCGGCGGAGATCAATTCGACAATTTCCAAGGTCTCAAGGATTGAAGCCCATGAGGAATTAGAGGAGTCAGGAGAGAGTCAGCACACTTGTAGGTTTCACATATATACAGTTGTAGGCTTGATTTTTCGCTATTGCCTTGGTGGATGCTGACACCACTTTGCGTCTTTTCTCTCAGACAGGCTAGGCCCAGGTTCGTCATATAGTCTCTACCAAAGGGTATTCTATGCTCCTGGAGTCATTGTGAAAACGCAGACATACAGTGGTGGGCCGGGGGAAGAGGTGCCAGGCCCCAAAATCCACGTTCCAATCACCTGCGACCTAAGGCCTAACAAGTTCCTTTCGGATATCGAGGCAAGTTACCTGCCTCCTTCACTGTAACGTGTCGAAATTGCTAGCTAATTCTGTGAAACACACAGGTGAGGTTCGGGAGGTGGGAGCGCGATACGCCTGACGATGTAATCCCGGTCATCGATAACAAGAGCCCTGGTGTCAACAAGGGCTTTCCTGAGTCTGAGTAACATCCCAGTCCCTGTTTTAATGAACAGTTCACAGACAGGATACTAACTTAGATCCTATCTCAGTTTCGTCTGGCTGATTCCCAAATGGAGCAATAAAGTACCCGATTCCTGCACGAGCATCGACATCCTTATCAGCAAATGGGAATGGGAAGGACACCCGAACCTCTCGTCCAAAGCAGGAGGTGAATATCGATACCTGAAGATTGTGAGAAACCCGAACATAACGAGGAGGATTGTGGATGTTCGTATGCTGCGTTCCGACAATAAGCAGGAGCGGAAGGATGTCTTGCAACTGGGCTACGATGGGATTTCGACAGACATCAACGAAGGCCGTGGACAGAGCTACCTCTATCTGATTTGGAAGACCATTGACATTGGTGACTCCGTGGTTGTGTAAGGTCTCTCTCTTTTAGGCAGTGAGAGTGTCAGGAGGCATTCGGACTAGCGTCCCGGATGCAACATTTGGAAGAATAGGTAGAGATCCTTTCCTCATAGTCCTTAAGGAAATGACAAACAAAGATAGTTGAATCTTTAGCTGCATTATTCAAAGGCCAGCAAGTACTGGCAGAAAAGTTAACAAGCTCAAGCAAGAACCTATCAGAAAAATTAAGGCATTGAAATTCAACTGTTTGTTTATTCTCTCTCTTTTATAATATTGTAGGCTTGTAAAATTGAAGCAACAAGTTTGATGAGAAGTTTTCTATGATTTCCTGTTAAATGTTACCTTCGATGTCTATTCAATACAAAGTGTCAGAAACAGTAGGAACATATTCCAACCTTAAAGGTGTCGCACAATGTATGTAGTCGCTTATTGACAGGTTTCTTAATGATTTTTGTGCTTGAACATTGGGCCATCTTGACAGACAGCCACCAGCCCTCAGATGGCCATAAGCACAGCTTAAAACAGCAACAAATATACTAACAATTAGGTGGCTAATGCCGCAAGGTGGTGACCTGGATAGTAATTGGGTGACTGATCAGCCATCCTGTGTAGTATGGCAAGTGGCTGTGTCCATTCAGATAAATTACTTAGAGTGGTGCAGCTGTGGCTGTGATACTGTATGATATGAACTCAAGCGCACCACTCTATATACCTGGCACTCAGGCCCTTCCATATGACACAATTGAGAATCAACAGGGGCTTTAGGTATTGTATCCTCATGCAGTACAGAAACATATCAAATCTGTGAATGTCTCCAAAATTCGGTACAGGAAGTCGTTTTCTTCGATATCTAGGAAGAGAACCTCACTTTATCGAAGTGTTCGGTTAATATAACGGCAAGTCTTCAAACACGAATTCCAAAAAAAAAGTTGTTGAACTCCTCTATTCTAACACATTTCAGCTTATCAGGCTTCTGTATGGGGAAGGATTCCAGATGTCCCAGTAGCAGACAATGACAAGTACAATATCAAAATTCTCATGAAGCATTATTGATGTTCTAGGCCATTTTCAGAATCATAGAAAGAGATTGCAGACCAGAAAAGACTGGCAGTTCTTATGTTGATAATGCAAAATAGCCTTCCCAAGATTCTAAAATCATTCTGTCTCATAACTTCACAAGAGATTTGCCAGGAGGGCGAGGAATTTGTTCTCACAAGGCTGAGACATGTATAGCTGGTCAAAAGTGGAACGCGCAATGGTGGTGGAGACACGATAATACACACAGCTGACACTGAAACTCGATCTGTAAAGCACACACATTTCATACCAGCCATTTTAATGGGGGTTCATACCAGTGATAAACAGTGGTAGCCAGGATGCTTCGTACAAGGATAGAGTGTACCTGCTGGAGCTTCACATGGGAATATCCTATTAGAAACATTCGTGTGGCGTTGGGTGTTCAATCACAACTGCAAATTGCACTGCTTCCTGCATGTCAAACAAGGGCTCAATTTTTTCCAGCTTATTTACATCTTACAGAAAAATAATTCGCGATAAGGTCAACAAGAGACAGCCGTTTGTCTGCTGATTCCAGCAATGTTCTAGTATTTTCCGACGGCGGATCCGCGCGCGCTCGGGTCGCTGACGTAAGGCGGAGCAGCAGCTTAAGCATAGCTGTCCAGAACTCCAGATCGGCCAGATCGCCATCACACGCGACCCCGTCCACCTCACGTGGGACTGCTGTTGCCCGATCACAAGAGATGCTCTCTTGATCTGGGGCAATTCGTCGACTGTTTCCATTCTAATTTCCTATTCTATTTTCCGTCAATGAGAACCCGTGCTCGCTGAGTGGGCTACGACTCTCGCCATGAGGCTGGCGGCGTACGCTGGGGTAGGTTGATCATCTCTCTTCAGGTGAAATCGAGCAGCAACTGACGCTGCAACAGGTCTCTGTGGCCCTGGCTGCGGGCGTGATCTTGAAGGCGCTGCATCAGAGAGCGAATTTCTATTCAGCTGCCGTCTATCTCTCCCAGAGCAGTGCCAACTTGATGGTAAGTTCTCTTTCCGACCTTGTCTTGAATCTCTTTCACAGTTTACTCACTTTCTAGATCTTGACGAACCTGTTTCTTATTGCCGCTGGTTTCACCCTCTACGGTCTGCAACGACTTCTCTACGGCCCGCTTCGACCCATCGAGACAGAGCAGCTCTACGAGAAGGCATGGTTCGCCGTCACAGAAACATGTTTGGCCATGACGATATTCCGGGGGGAGCTGGGGGGATGGTTCTTGGTCATGTTTGTCTGCCTCCTGGTTGGCAAGGTCTGGGGTTGGATTGGGGAAGGTCGCGTCGAGATCTTGGAGCAGCAACCACCAGCCAACCCCCGTCTCTTCCACGCGCGCCTCGCAACCTCCCTCATCCTCTCCGTCCTCTTCGACTCGCTCATGTTGGAATACTCGGTGAGAACGGTTCTCGAACAGGCCCGCCCTGACATGATGGTGATGTTTGGATTCGAGTTCGCTGTCTTGACCATTCTGTCAACCTCCACCCTCGCCCGGTACGGCATCTCCCTGGTCGAGCTCTACATCAACCACCAGCAGAAGAAAGCCAAACTGGCGGAACGGAGGGCGGAGATACGTGCAGCCAGGGAGGAAGCAATCCGGCGGCATCGAGAATCCGGGGCGGAGGGCCTTCCGGCCAACCTGCCGGACGAGAACGACGTGGACGAGATGGAACTCGACGTGCCAGGCTGGGAGGAGAAGGGTCGCTGGGTGTTCTACCTGGAATTGGTGACGGATTTCCTGAAGCTGGTCGTATACTTGGCTTTCTTTGCGATCCTCTTTACGTTCTACGGTCTTCCGATCCACATCCTGCGCGACGTCGTCGTGACTATTCGTTCCTTTGGCCGGCGGATTATGGATTTCCTCCGATATCGCAACGCCACCAGGGACATGCATGAACGGTATCCGGATGCGACAGCGGAGGAGATCTCTCGGGAGGATGTCTGTATCATCTGTCGCGAGGAGATGGTGCCGTGGCAGCCAGCAGGTGGCGATGGCGGTGCGGCAAGGCCGAGACCGACCTCTGATCGATTGCGTCCGAAGAAGCTCCCATGCGGTCACATTCTTCACTTTGCCTGCTTACGAAGCTGGCTCGAACGGCAGCAGAATTGTCCCACCTGTCGTCGCCCAGTGGTTGTGCCACGGAACCGGCCCTATCAGGCTGGCGGCGCGAACAATGCTGGACAAGGAAATGCCGCGCCTGGACTTCAACCGGGATTAAATCAGCCCGCAGGAGCCAATGCGGGCGCCGGTGACGGGCAGCCCCGGGCTCGAATATACCAGCTTGGTCCTTTTCGCATTGGATTCGGGGCTGGCCGCGGAGACCTGCTCCAAAATCTCCATCATCAGATCCAACAAGGAAACAACCCCCTGGCCGCGGTCAACCCTCCCGCGGGGGTGCAACAGATAGGCTTTGGCTTTGGTTTTGGGCGTCCTGCTGCTGCTGCTGCTGCTGCTCCTCAGCCCCAACCTCAGCCTCAGCCCCAGCCCCAGGGCCAGCCTCAGTCTGCTCCTGCACAGCAGACGGCCGCTCCCCAGACGAATCTGGCCAATGTGCAGAGCCAGCTGCAGCAGATCGAGCAGCAGATCGTACAGGAGATCAATAACCTGCGGGTGACAGCAGATCAGTTGCACGTTGTGCGCCTTCTCCAAGCAGAACTGCAGCGGCTACGAAACCTCCAGGCCAACCCCCCTCGCCCGGGCGGCGCTTCTCCCCACCCTCCTCAGACGACTTCTTCCACGTCCCCTGCCCCTTCTTCCTCAACGTCTCTTAACACCGCAACTCGCCAATTCACCTCCAGCCCGCTAACACCAGTGATTGGGGCTGGCGACAGCCGGCTTCCGGAGGGTCTCGTTCTGCCGCAAGGCTGGACGTTATTGCCTCTCCACCGTGTCGACCCTGTGACGGGGGCGGTGATGCTGCCTAACTTTCCTCCCAGTTCACAGGCAACCACTGCCAATGGCAATTCATCAGCGGCTCCCTCGGCGGATCGTCCTACGGGAGGTGATCAAGCAACTCGTGTGGATGTCGTCGACGGGACAAGTGAGTCCACTACTCAGCAGGAGTCTGCTACTCAACAGGAGGCGACGACAAGTGAGTCCGCTGCTCAACAGGAGTCGTCTGCGCAGCAAGAACCTGCTGCTGAGCCCGACCGAACGGAACAAGCGAGCAGTACATCTGCGCGGCCGAGTTCGCCCTCTCAGGAATGGACGGACGTAGGACAAGACACACTACGGGAAGGTAAGAATCAGCCTGCGGCAGCGGAGTCATCTGAATCTGGCGAGGCCGCCGCTGCGGCAAGCTCCAGCGAACCGTCATCGTCGTCGAAAGGCAAGGCCAAGGCGGCGACGGTGGAAGACTTTGAGGATGATGAATCATGAGAGGTAGCCTATTTTGTTTCAGACGATTTCACATGAGTTGTATAGCATGGCATTTGTTGGCTCCTCTTTTTTTTTTTCCCCCTTTCTTCTGGTGTCTAACATGGGCGTTTCGTTGAGCCAGGATCATACCCTGTGATTTTTCTTCTTGTGATGTGTGTTTATTTCCCTGGCTTTTGTCTTCGTGTTTTTGTTCTGCAAGCATGGAGGGCATATCCTATCTCATCTCTGTACCGGAGAACGCCTCTAACTGTTGATTGAGGCAAGAGAGAATTGAAAGGATTTCTATAGTTGTATTGTATTTTATACCAAACATTCAGCTATAGTTGTTTGTTTCTGTACTGGTAGTACAAAAACAACAGCGAGATAGATGTGCTTGAACTCGAGGCAATCGATTCAGTCGTTCATCATCCTCCCTTGACTCCAATTCTATCAATTTGGATATGCAGCCTCTGTAACAGACTGCCTGCGCACGGACGTAGCTACTAAATGAATAAGTTTGAGAATGAGTGAAATGAACTCGTCGCATATAACGCGAAACATCATTTATCCCTTCGATTCAGATTTATACGGCTAGACCAGGTAAAAAGATCGACACTGAGAGGAGGGACGAGGGGCAAGGTCGAATCCTACTCGCATCTACACCGCCACTATGCCACTATCCACTATTTGTGGACACGATTGGCGCATGAGAGGCAGAGTTGCATTGGGAGGGTTTCACTAGGCATTCCGCCTGGAAACGATCACAAAAAAATAACACGGTCAGAAGGGATTTTCAAAAATATATTCTAGTCGAATCTACTCTACCTAGATAGATAATTCTCAAGCCAAAGTGCAAAGAAATAATTCTCGACAGGACCATTTCAGACAGAAACGAGGCACACTGCGTAGTTTTAATTGGAAACATCCCACCTGCGCTAAGATAAGCAATGAGTGACGTACATAGTACTTAATAAGGGGATTTTCCAGCAGTATGGTGACGGTGTACCACCGCCAGGTTTCTCGATCGATCCCGCTACCATGGTGTGCGGTTCCGGTGATCCTATTTGTACGCCATGCCTTGTTCGATCCTTTGCTTAGGAGGGATCTCGACAAAGTAGTTGGTAGGACAGGTTGATCAAAGGATAAAGAATATCGTTCTCACTGTGCTACTGCTATGGTTATAATTATAAGGATCTGTCTCCCTGCCGTATATTCTACCAAGCAGTGCTGCAGCCTACTTTCTGTATTGTCCTGGTCTCACGTGTTCCGCCCAAAAGAAAAAAAGCGACGACATTCCTCGACTTCTTCCGCTCCTCTCGACAATAATACACACTCTCTGCCTGTGCCATTGGCGATGTTTATCGATCAGATAAGTCGATTCTGACGACGACCAACTCCACGAGGCACAGAACCAGCGGGACTCCTGCCAAGCAGCAATAAACTCGGCTAGTCGTCAGCAGAAGCTCCTGGCCATCCACTATCCAGCCCGGTGGGTTCCTGCGCGGCCTTGGTTGGCCCTCTGCGGCCATCGATCGCGCCGTCCGTCAATTCCATCGAATCGTCCGAGGCAAGACGCAGGTCGACTGATGGTCCGTGTGGGCCCAGTACGGAGTACTGCTAAGTGCTCGTTTCAGGCCAGCGTGGTCGGGGATTCAATGTGCCCACCGCCGTCCGCCCCAGACAGGGGAAGGTGAGGAACTAGCAACAATTTATCTGGACAAGTGACTTGAATTTCAGGCCTCCATTTCCTCTCCCAGTTGACTGGCAGCTATATACGAACCCCTACGATGCGTTAACCCTCTGTCGACTCGCCGTCTGCTTCCATTGCCTCTGCCCGGCTGTCCCGCCCCATTCGTCACCCTGAGACGCAACTAATTCATCGACTCGGAGCCACCACCCCGGCCCGTTTTCTGTGTGCAACGGGGTACCTGCAGCATCCCTGCCCTCCCCATACTCCTACAACAATCACCAGCGGAGGACATTTTGTTTAGCCGGCTGCGCCTATCCGTCTGTTTTGTCCACGTCAATTGCGATCATTTTTCCCCCCAATTTTCTCTTTCCGCCGGGTACCGTCTCCGCGCATTTCGATGCGATGACTCTGGTACGCTGGCTTTTGTCGTGTTAACAGGATCAGCGTCCCTGATGCGCGGGAATCGACCAGAATAGGTGTGTTTGCTGCGAATGTGGCCAGAGGGTTGGAGGCGACGTTCGACGTCAGCTCACCACTTGGGGGCGAATTTCAGGGACCACCCGACTGACAGCGAGTTTTCTTCCAGAGTGACCCCGCGAGCCTGAGAGAGCGTACTGTGCTCGCCCTACACATCCATGCTCCTCCCCAGACGAACGCTACCCCTCCTCGGCCTCGCCACCTTCGGCTTCTTTCTCTTGCTCACATGGCGGTCCATCACGCAGGGAGAAAGATGGCGCAACATCCCGCAGGCCGTGGGAATGGGCGAGGTGGTTGATGGAAAGTCGTCGCACCGGCAGGACTCAGCCAAAGCGATGCCATCATTTACCGTCAACATGTCCGTGCAGGAGGACCGGCCGACCAAGTACCCGTACGGTCCACGACCGCAATTTGTGCCCGGGAAACCCAAACCCCCGGGGTCGACCTACTCGAAAATGATCGTCTGCCCGCGGACCCAGAGCGAGAGCACCGACTGGATAGCGGAGGAGCTTCCGGACTGGGAGGCCGCAGTGTATGTGGTCGACGATCCCACGGCACCGCTGCACCCACCCAAGAACAAGGGTCATGAGGTCATGGTGTACCTGACCTTCATCATCGACAACTACGACAACCTACCCGACATCGTCGTGTTCATGCACTCGCACCGGTACGCCTGGCACAACGAGGAGATTTTAGATTTTGACGCCGCGGAGATGCTGCGGAGGCTGAGCCCGGAGCGTGTCTACCGCGAAGGATTTATGAACATGCGCTGCATCTGGGCTCCCGGCTGCCCGGATTGGATGCACCCGGGCGCCCTCGAGGAGGACGTGAACAAGCAGGAGGAGACGATGCTGGCGCGGTCGTGGGGCGAGATCTTCCCGGAGCTGCCCATCCCGAAGGTGCTGGCGCAGCCGTGCTGTGCGCAGTTCGCCGTGTCGCGGGACCGCATCCTGGCCATCCCCAAGTCGCGCTACATCTTCTACCGGGACTGGCTGTTGCACACGGAGCTGAGCGACTACATTTCGGGGCGGGTGTGGGAGTATCTGTGGCATGTGATCTTTACAGGCCAGGACGTCTACTGTCCGAAGGAGCATGTCTGCTTCTGCGACGGGTTCGGGCTGTGCTTCGGGGGTGAGGAGGAGTTGAGCTACTTCTTCGGGACTCGGTTCCAGCTGCGCGATCTGGAAGAGGAGCTGAAGCAGTGGCAGGAGAATTCGCGGAAGATCGAGGAAGCGAAGATGCTGGGGAAGCTGGACGAACTGTCGGACGTGACGATCCCGGAGGTGGGCAAGGACGCCATCCTGGTGTCGCAGATTGAAGAGAAGTACGCGATTCTCGGCCGGCTCAAGGCCGAAGCGATCGAGCGCGGCATGGACCCGCGCAATCGAGCGAAAGAGGCGGGGCGACCCTGGAAAGAGGGAGATGGATTCTAGGAGTGAAGTACCCGTCCCGAAATCAGGATATTCGGATGTCGACCATCTTTTTGATTGCGCATATTGTTCCATCGGCATTGTGAAAAAGTCCATACAAAGCAGACTTTCGTGTACAGATCGGAAATTTCTTTTTTTTTGGGGGGGGGCGTTGGACCGGCCTGACGAGGTTCCGTTTTCATCATTTCTTGTTTATTTTTTCCACCTCGTCTGGATTTTCTTTCTGGGTGCAGGGGCTGTTTGATTTGGTTGAGAGTATATATACATGTCTATTTATTTTCGTTTCTCTGTACCTGTACGTATACACACATGCTTTGTTTGATTTGATCTACGAGGTGGACATAGATAGATTCGATACGTTGCCGCCTGTATGTATTTTATATACTGGTTGTCGGACATAGAATTGAATTAGGTGTGCATAGCTGAATGCTTTCTCCTGCCTTTTACTTATTCTTCGTTTTCTTTCTCTCCTTCTTTTTTCTCTTTTTCTTTTTAGCGTTCCTAAGGCATTATTTCGACTACCATATGCAACTACGTGTGCGAATCCACTCAGCAGCAGTATTAATAGTAGTACGAGGTAATTAGATACCAACTAATACAGAGGCAATAATACTGGCCATTAATTAATATCAAAGGATTAATTAAGTTAGTCCATCCCAGCCACCTATCTCACAAATCACAATCTCGTTCCAATGTCCGAACCTGCCATCGGAGATACTTAGCTTGCTGCTTGACCGGTCTCAGACAGCGTTGGCGGCGAATTAGCAGCCCACGAGGTTGCAATGCACGATAGCTCTGCATTAGCAAGATCATAATCCGCATAATAGTCGTCAGCGTCATTGGGTGTCTGGCAGTCAGTGCTTATCGTTGGTGCGCCTCCGTGCAACTGTTGGCCCACGCCGGCCTTCGTCCTCGTGGCATCCCACTCTGTTGACGTTATCGTGCTGCTGCAGTTAGTATGGATCGTTCCAGTCGCCTGCAACAGTGTTCGAATGTGCGCAGTGAATAATCTTCGATGCTCTTCGATGCTCTCTGCCAGCATTTCTCGCGCTGCGCCACCCCCGGCCGTCCGATCGCGTGCGGAGAGAGCATCACGTACGACAGTCGACATGCTCCACCAGATAGACAAGAACAACGATTCTTGCAGACATCTCTCTGTCCATCGACGCAGGGGCCGCCGTGGGTGGCTCCTTTTCGCGAGTCAAGCTTCGCTCGGCACACGCGGGCCCGAGGGTCGCGGCCTGGCCAAGCTCGCCATCCCTGCAGGGGATAATCACCTTCCTAGTTGATCCCTAATGCCATCGACACTATCCCGAACATGGCGAAGCCTGCTTAATTCCATCATCGATCGCCGCGATAACTTCGCCTGCAGCCCGGGGGTGATTGGTGCAGGCGAGCAGAGAGAGTTCGCTGCTATCGCGCCGTCCGCCCGCAAGCCGCCTCCGCGCGCTGGTTATAAGAACACTGTGCTGTGCCCTCGCATGCACCTCCCTGCCTGCAGCGCGGATTCCTGTCTGTCATTCTTTCTTCTTCTTTGCCCTTTCTCCTGGACTTCTTCCTCCCATCTCGACGGCCAACCATGGCGGAGAAGACGGAGAAGACGGTCGATGCGGTCGCCGAACAGGGTCCCAGGCCCATCCCCCCGCAGATGCGCCTGCTGCACGACCCGGACGTGACCTTCGAGGAGTACTACTACTACGCCTGCAAGACGCGCAAGGAGGAGGAGACGCTCGAGGTGCCCAAGGCCGGCAAGAACCTACTGGCCTATCTGATTCCCAATCTGCAGAACGGCGTCTCGAGCGACACCGAGACCCCCGAGATCAACACCTCGGACCGCGCGACTCGCCTGCACATCTCGGACGAGGAGTGGGTTAATGCGTCCAGGGCTGTTCGTACAGCGACCGCTGGCGCCATCTTCTACCTCATCACCACCGACATTCTCGGGCCGTTTGCGCTGCCCTACGCGTTTGCGACCACGGGTTATGGGTGAGCAGGACAACGCTGTGTTAAGAGGCCAAGACTAACTGTTCAGACCGGGTATCGCGCTCTACACGGTGTTTGGTTTCATGGCTGGCGTGTCTGGCTGGTTGCTCTGGGAGTGCTTCATGGGTGGGTAATCTTCTCTGTTTTTGACGTGTTCTTCCTTCTGACTACTGCAGGCCTCGATTCGTATCAATTCCCCATCCGCGCCTATGGTGACCTGGGCTTCCGGCTGCTGGGCCCGTGGTGCCGCTACCTGTTCAACATCCTCCAGGCCATCCAGCTGGTCTGCAACGTGGCCGTCATCATCATCTCCAATGGCGAGGCCTTGTCGGAGGCGGCCCAGTTCAAGCTGTGCTACGCCGTCTGCTGTCTGATCTGGGCGCTGGCCGGCTTTATCCTCGGCCAGATCCGCACGCTGCAGAAGTTCGGCTGGCTGGCCAACCTGGCCGTGTTCATCAACCTGATTATCATGTTCATCACCATGGGCGCTGCGGCCCACACGCCTCCTCTGTACTCCGCATCGGCGTCGTCGGCCGGGTACAGCGTCAACCCGGCCTTGGTCACCCCGGTGAAGGGCGTCTATCCGCCTGTCCAGCACAGCGCCGGGCTGCCGGACCCCAGCAACTTCGGGGCGTCGGTGAACGGGCTGATGCAGGCGGTGTATGCGTATGGAGGAGCGATGATTTTCGCCGAGTTCATGGCGGAGATGCGCCGGCCGCGCGACTTTCTGAAGGGCATGTGGGGGGCGCAGCTGTTCATCTACTGCTGCTACATGCTGTACGGCTTGTATATGTACTCCTACCAGGGGCAGTACATCCAGAACCCGGCGTACCTGGGCATCTCGGCGTACGGGCTGCAGACGGCGGGGAATTCGCTGGCCATGGTCAGTTCGCTGATTGCGGCGACGTTGTATGGGAATATCGGCGTCAAGGGTAGGTCGTCGTTTACGTGGAAAAATAGCGAGGATGTGTGCTAACTTGTCAGTCATTTATAACAACATTTTCGTCGGATTCTTCAAAGCGCCGCCTCTGACGATCCGCGCGGGCAAGCTCCTGTGGATAGCGCTGATTCCGATCTACTGGTCGATCGCATTCGTCATCGGGGCCGCGATTCCGGACTTTTCAGGCTTCACGGGCATCGTCTCAGCGACGTGCATCCTGCAGTTCACATACACGTTCCCACCGCTGCTGCACCTGGTGTTCAACGTCCGCAAGAACGCGCTGCAGCCGGGCGAGGGCTTCGACCCCAACACCGGCGTCGTGGTGCTGCACGACCGGGGCCTGCGCCGGTGGATCCGCGGCTTCTTCGCCAAGAACTGGTACCTGAACGTATGGAACGTCATCTACTTCCTGGGGTCGCTGGCGACGGCAGGGCTGGGCATCTGGGCCTCCGTCGAGAACCTGATTGTCGCGTACTCGGTGCCGCAGCTAAACGCGTTTGGATGCACGTCGCCGTTGGCTGTGTCTGCTTAGATGGCCTGGTAACCTCTGGTGGCTTGGAATGTATGTATTCAGATATGCATGTACTGTATGTATAAAGTGGTAAACTAGTGATTTCATGTCTTTTAATCCATTCATTCAAGTGGAATCAATCTCCCGAATCTTGGTAGTAGCAGATGTACATACAGTACGTATCTACCTGTTCAGGTACCCAGTACGTAGGTATCTTACTTACTAGGCAGTATGTGGGCTGTGCATTACAATTTACTACCTACCGCTGGCCATCTATCTCGTCTCATCTCATCTACTTACTTACTTAGCTCATTCTACTACTTACTAAATAAATACTACTGTAGAAAGAAAAGATAAGAAAAGACAGGACAGAAGACCCAGTCAGTAAGCCTAAGTAAGTAAACACGCGCAGTATGTAGAGCTAGAGACATCAATCAATTGGCAATTTTTATCTATCTATATATTTATCTGTCTGTCTGTCTGTCTGTCTGTCTATCATCATCTTCTTCTTGATCACCATCATAATTACTCCGCAAGAGAGAGAAGAGAGACGGCGTGCATAGTCAAATAGTCAGAATGTGCCTTTTTTTTATTTCTCCCTCAAAAAAAAAAAAGAACGAACGAACGAATGAATGAATCCCATACAGCATAGTATGTATCATAGTATATAGGTATAGATTCTTCTTGTAGTAGCAGTTTCCACTCCACTCTCTCCAGACTTTCTTGGACTGGAATTGGAATATCTGTTGATGGTGGTTAGAAGCTATGTACTGACATAAACGTAGTTAGAGGATTAGAAGAATCATTGCCTTCTTTTCTCTCTTTCTCTCTGAGAGCTTTTTGAGATATTGTCCGTTACATGAATTAGTGGTTAGTGGTTAGTGAGCAGTGAGAAGTATGTAATAATCAGTATTCTAGATACAGAGATAGATAGATAGATGGATGAATGGATTGATTGATATGGTATGATATGAAGGATGAAGGCGTGGATGGATGGAGTAATTGAACTACGCTTTTTCTTTCTTTTACATTTTGTGATAGAGGTGCTTGTTATGTTTTCCCGAATCTTTCCTCCCTTTGTTCTGTTTTGATTTTTTTTTAAAAAAATAATCAAGTTCAGCTTGTTTTTTATCTGTTTATGCAACTTAAAGGCAGACAGGAATTTCCTATAATCCTATCCTATCCTATCCTATCCAATCTATTTATTTGTTTCTGTACTATATACCTATTAGAGATAAGATGCGTACGACGCACCTAGAGTGTGTGTATCGAAATACTCCATAATAAGCTGACAGTATCAGATGGTATATAATATAATATGCCTGCAAGTTCTTCGTTTGGCTGTGTATTATTTATTTGATTGGATTAGATTGGATTACACATAAAAAAAATATTTGTACCGTAGATATCAGTCTGCTCGTTTTTACTTCTATGGTACTTATCTGCGAAAATGTAGTTATTAGCTCATCGACTGCTATTTCTTTTTTTTTACTAGGCCTCTGCCACTTTGCTTCCTCTTTTTATATATAGAACCCTCTTGCTCCCGTGCTCCCATTTCTCTGCTTTCTCTCTCCTCTGCTGCGGCTTCGCCCTTCATGTTATGTACTCCTCCTATAGGATCGACTAGACGAAATATCTCCCCAACGACGGCTCGTTTCGAGTTCATTTCGGACTAGGAAGGTCAGTCAATTTTTGCACCTCGACTCCTATGCTATGGAGAAAGAAAAGAAAGGAGATCTTGCTATGGTAACCATTATGGACTTGGTTGACTCTGCATGATAGGTAGCAACTGGCCAACGGCTCTTTGAGGTATTATTTATTGATTGATTGTGATTTTGCTTTACTGCAACTTGGCTTATTTTATTTTTCTGGCTTGAAAAAAGAAAACCTCTCGTAAATTTGATGACCCTTTTTCCCCCTAAATTCTTCCTTTGAGCCCGATATTACTGCATATCTAATATAATACCTCTGAAAAAAAGAACGTCAAAGAAAGAAATTAATGGTAAGAAACTCAATAGTAAAATTCTAGACAAAACAATACAAGGTTATAAGAACAGGGAGCTGTCCAACATCATAACATGGCCTGAAATAGTACAACACCCCTCAAGGCAGAAATTTTTACGAAAATTACCTCTTAAGGCCCATTCGGCGGACTATTGGCGGGTGGATCAGGAAGCGATCCTGCAAAGCCTGCACATCTCGGATCTCTCAGTGCAGCAACTTGACCATCACAGGTACAAGTGCATTTGGGGTCAACCGCGTAGCCATCTGAAAGGTTGCACTCGGCTCTTTGTGAGACATGTCAGCGGGAGGCTTCCTCTGTGATGTGAAGGAGGTCCAGGTGGGATTCTTACGACAAATCGCAATTGCCAGCTGATTTAAAGGGCAGTTTCACATCCACCAGGAAGTCATTATAGTCCTCTCCGACGTAATCGCAGGTTGCCATTGGGGAGCCGTGTTCGTCCGTGCCTTCAAGGTGACAGTTGATGGGCACGGTGTCTTGGCTAAGATCCAGGTTTGCCTCAGGAACAGCTCCGCCGGTGTCGTCGTCGGCGATGGGGTCATCGTCTCTCTCAACTAGTCGCTTTTTAAAAGAATGGGAGCCATCGTCTTTCCAATTCCATTTTTTGTGAAACCAGTTGTAGTTGAAGAACCAGGCATAGTTGTCAGCTGGATTGTTGTAAGTTCCGGAATCCAAAACATCAACGTGTTGATACGCACCATTGTATGCTGTATATATATTTACTCCTTCTCCAGGATAATCGGGATTCTTCATATTTTTCCATGCCCATTCATGACATAAACTGTCGCCGTAGATTTTCTATTCAGAGAGCGATAAGTCACGGAAACACACCTATTAAAAGAAAGTACTTGCTTACCTGACCATCCCGTTGACCAGGTATACTTCCCACAACATCCTCGACTAATCGAGTCAGCCGGTGAAAGAAAAAAAAGTATAGACATGACTTACTCTGGAATCTGTAACCAAACAGCCTGTTGTGCATCCATTCGTGTATTACCATATATTCGTAAGAGATCAAAGTTCCAATCTGTGATGGCTGCTTGCGCGTTCCATCCGTGATTCGATTGTTGGAATTCGTTCATTCTCTAAATCCTGCACCTCAAGCGACAGCGGCCGATTTGTTAAATGCAAGTACCCGTTGTTGTCGATAATGAAAGATCCAATTCTTGGTAAAGGAACCCGCGTGATACTTAATAAAATCCGAGAAAGGTCACGAAAAAAGTTTCCTTCGTAACTTGGTATCATTATGCTTCTCTAACCATGTAGTGGAGAGCATTTTTTCCCTGCCGTTTCTTCAATATACTCAATTAACATATAACCAGAACCCATCCCATTTTCATTAGGCTTCGGACTTCTGGGCTGGTGCCGGACGTAACAGGAAGGGACCGAACCGGTTAGGCATGATAAGACCAGGCGACGTAGACGTTGGAGGATGCGAGGAAGGAGAGGCAGGTTTTCAATTTGAGTAAACTGGAATGTCTGAATTAGTTTAAATTCGAGTTATTAAAATAACTTTCTACCATACAGTTTCACCTGTGGACATGGCAAAGCCATACAATCGTGGAATAGGCACGTCCGGGCAGTTTTCTTGCAGCCACGCATAGGTTCCTGCCTCACATCGGATTTTTTCATCACCGTTTCCTGGCCTGAAAGCTTCTCCGACACGGTATGGTAGAGGTAATCGAAGGAGAACACGTTGACTAGGCTGCTTTTTTCTGTTCCAGTCCATAATGGTCACTGGTATGCAGACATTGAAACTACCATGTAACCAGTCCTCGACTTCGGCCACCTGACACGCATTGGATGATCTTAGGCCTCACTTACCAATCGGGCGCTAGGTAAATAGAAGGAGTGTTCTAACATTGAAATAGCTGGAAGCTACTTTAGTATTAGTTAACTATTTTGCGCAAAGGCAACAAATTTGATAAGCAGTTCAACACCACCAACGGCCTGAATGCGCATTTCAACTCGCCGGTGCACCAGCAGAAGGTATACCATTACCCGAATGGGAAGGGCAAGTGTGCGAGGACTTTTGTCACGTTGGCTAGATTATTCAACCATTTAGAGAGTGAGACATGTTCCTTTATGAGGTTTGAGATGGTGCAGCGAGTGAGTGCAGTTCTAGGACGCTGTCCTAGAATCCTGGTCTTTTTGCCCTTAGCGCAGCGGTTTAGCTCTTAGAATGTACCCTAGGTGCCGGATCGTGACAGTTGCTGCAGCTTTCACTTCTGTCGAAGTCCATGACGCATTACATGACAGTCTGTGTGCGCTGCTG